TCTTTACCATATCCCTCAAGAAAAGACATTTTTCCCATTCCTGTTCTCTTTTCTGAAGAGCTACAGCTTGGTCCAGTATGGCATCCCATACTGTCCCTAAGGAGTAAAACTCTTTATGCTTCATGCTGGTATCTTGTATCGGATGGGGTTTCACTCACTGATATATGAAAAAGAGAGTGGATGTAATAGTGACTAGTAGGAAGCAGCAGATCTCTTCCAGTTCATTTTCATTATGACTAGGAGTTACAAGAATCACATCTGATGATTACTTCTAACACACAGGAGTGTAATGTCTAGAAAAGTGTGACTATTTGCTTTCCTTCTAAAAGCCAGAGTTAGTTTTCCATTGTTCAGCTTAGAGCACTTTTTTTTAAAAATCAGGATTAGGTGACAGAACCTACTTTTACAAGTGCAAGGTGATGTGAGAAAGCAGAGTTTATGCACAAACAGGCAAATGAATTTTGAACTGATTTTATAGGAAGGATCTTACATGAGTTGCCTGACTACTTCCCCTTCCCACTTCTCTCTCACCGCTTCTTTTATGTAATATGTTATCTGTCTGGACAGAATGTCTTATTGTAAATAGCATTATTTCGCTGACCTCCTCATGCTTTGTCTGGTGGGCTGGTTAAATTTGCTAAGGACTGTGGAACTAGTGCATTCACATATCTGCATAGTCTTAGTGATGCTTTGGTGAGGTGTACATTTATTTCTGTTTATTTATTGTTTATTTATTTATGTACAATGTTTTGTACCTCGCCTTTGCTGCTAACCAGGAATTTCATACCCATTTCATGTCTTTCATTAATCATCCCAAAATATGCTTTTCTGACTTCTGGCAGATGCTGTGATCTGCATGTCATTGTATACAGATGGCCTTTGTAGCAGGCTGGAGAAGACTGAGTAAACTCAGAAAATGGCTTTTTCGAATACTGCAGATTTTGGTAGTTCTGCTTTCTCTTTGGGACTAGCACTCAAGTTTGTGCAAGACTGAACCGTACACTCTTGAATAGGAGTTTGATTTTCTGTTTTGTAACCTGTACTGGGCAGCACTGTTCCAGATGATGCTGTCTTATCCAGAAAGTTGTGATACTGGTAGGGAATCTTTATTTGTTGCAACAGGACAAGGGAGGTGAAAGCAAAGAATATACTTGGGAAGAGTTCTTACCTGGCAGTGAGGTTCAGGAATCAGCCAGGACCAAAAATGGGTAATATCTAGGATGCTGCCTTCTAGGAGTTAGGATTCCTGTGGTACTGGTGTTGGTCTGTCCCAGCTTTCCACCCTCTCTGTGGTGTTTTTCATACTGCCCTACTGTGTGCATGTCTATATGTGTATCTGTGCTTGTCTGTTTCCCTGCCTCCCTTTTGTTCAGCGGGTGATCAGAGGCCGCAGCCAGAGCCTGGATACCATGGGGATATCCATGAGAAAACAGCAGCCAGCTACCCTGCCCAGTCGCCCAACTACAGCTGGTCTTGCCCTCAGCCAGAGTGTCGCCGAGGGCCCTAAGGCCATTGCTGCGGTAAGGTATTAGGGTGGACTGTAAGAAAGGACCCAGCATATCTTTGTGACCCACCCATACATTTTATTTCTCTTTCCCGATTAGTTTTTCCTTCTGTGAACTTCTTTTAGTTGTATCATTCCATTTCACAAGTGGTTTTAGACAGCGTGTATTGCAATCTTATCTGTTTTGTCTGTGCCTGTCTCCAGCCCCAGTTCATCCGTGAACTAGAGCTGAAATTGATGCAGACTGTGAAAAGAAAGGCAAACGTGACTTTACATCATACATCTCTCTCTACTGTCCTGGATTAGATCCTACAGGCTGTCGTAACTTAAAAAAACACACGCACTGTGGTTTGACCGGAATGGTACTGTATTTGTCTAGTGACAAGAGCTGAGAATGTCAGGATACTAGAACTGTTTAATTTTTCAATTTCACCAGTCAGAACTTTTTTCTGTAATATAAACAACTGCGCAATGTTTATTCAAGACATTATTTTGCTGTAAATGGAATTTGCAGGTTGGCAACAAATAGCAGAATGAATAGAGTTTGGGGTGAGGAAAAAAAAGTGAGTAATTATGGGTACTGGCAAAGTCTTTCTTGTTCAATAGAGATACTAAAGATATGTAATCAGTGTGGACATGATAAATCCATGACAAATATTTTCCAGGAAAGTATCCATATTTCTGATATTGAAAATATGGTCACCTTGGCTAAATTACATCCAGTTGACTGTGGTCTCTGCCCTAGTGATGTCAGTATAGGCAGACTCAAAAGAGCATCTCTGAGTAAGCTTTTCAGTGTGGGAGTTTCTTGGTGACAGTTTACTCAGTTGTGTGCATTCTTTATGTCAACACGACAAAGCCACAGAATAGTAATGACATGGACTTGCTGCCTCCTTCTCTCCTTTAACTTCTAGTTTTCTCTGCCTCTTTCTGATGCTACCTCTTCTTCCCTCTTCATATGGGGATACCTCTCTTCCTGAGCCCCTTTCTCTGCATACTGACTGTGTATCTTTTTCTGCCTTAGTTTCTATATCTCTGTGTCTCATTCTCTTTCCATCTCTGTACACTTTTGCTTCTCTTTCTCATGACAGAAAGTATTCTTTCTTGCACTGATGGAGCTGGGCAGTGCTATAGCATACCAGAGTAAAGGAGAGGATCTGGGATCCACATAGCAAACTCTCTCGCGCGCTTTTCGAGTTCTTCAAAGTTTTTTCCTGTCTAGTTCCTCTTGCTATTTTCCGTCACACTTTCCTTTTTTCTAGTCTTTTGCCTTGCCTGGTAGAAGCCCATCACGCACTCGAGCCAGCCGCTTCCATGGGCGACGAAGTAGTGCCATTGGCATTGAGAACATACAGGAGGAAAAGAGGTATGAGCCATGGGCAAGTGAGGCAGAGAGAAAAGACAGGAGGAGATGCTAAAAGGGAGATAGAAAAGCTCGTGTAAGGAGGACAGAAAGGGAATCGATAGGAATGAGAACTGAATGGAAATGGCTGGAATGGGAAAAAGGCCTATCAGCTAATGGATAAATGGACAAATCATGGAAAGAAAAAGAATGAGAAAGGACATTTGGAAATGGGGAGAATAGTATTTAAGGAAGAAAGTAGGAGATGGGTGGAGGAATGTAGTAAGATCACTTATAAACACTCTTAACCTGCCATATGATCCAAGACTCCTGGTCCTCGAGAAAGGCTTTTATTTGGGGAAGGAAAGGGTGCTTGTTTATTTGTTTGTGTTCTTGCTAAAAAATTTAAATAGGCAAAAGTCATGATCTTTGGAAGAAAAGAGGATTTTTCTTTTTTTAAAGTTTTAACTCAAAATGACTAACATTTAAGAGTTCAGATGATTCAAGAAGTAATTGTCCTTAAGGGATAACATACAGGTTCGAGGTGTAATTAGGTGTATTTGACTGAATTACAAGCGTTCAAAAATTGTCTACTGGACACCAGAGATTATTTGGTTAAATAAATAAATTTGCCTCTCATATTTAGTTACATAACACCCTTTTTGAGCGTATACAGAGTCTCAAAAGCCGTGAGAGTGCTCTGTGCTTAGTATACAGTTTTCCCAGTTCCAAGAATTCCAAGAAATGGCTTAAAAGGGGAAAAGCCATCTTTAATGTAGAAACCAATGATTTCACAACAGGAAGAATTTTTGCTTATTACATTTTACCTTCTCTTCCTTTATTCTGTTGGACCTTTCCTTAATGAGATACCTATGTTCTTATTTGAATAAAAATAGGTTAAAACTTTTTTTGAGAAAAATAAAATATTCTGAGATAACTTCTCTTTAACAATCCAAGCCAACACAATAGGCACAGTTCCTCATCATTTATCTTAGTTTTGCACCTTATACAGCAATACCACTCAGTCCATTACTTTGTATACTACATTATTCTCTAACCCTTTCAAAAATTTGTAAAAGCTTCCTACAACAAGGAGGAAAAAACAAGACTTATTTTCTTTTTTTTTCTTTCTCCTGCTCTTTGCTAGGAGGTAATTGGAAAGCTATAGGGTTTATTTAGCTTTTCTGCTTATTTTTAACCTTATATAAGAGGAATGGTGATCCTTATCTTGTGTTTTCTGGAAGACATTTTGAGTGATTCTTGAAGGTGCAATTTCACTAGCAGCTGATCTGATTTAACAATTCACTGCCACTGAAAAGCAGATATCATACTTTCTCTCTCATGGTATCTCTTTAACTACATAATCCCGTCCCATTCCTTGTGATGGCTCAGATGCTGTTGTACCCTCCATGGAACTCATTCAGATTATTAATGTAACAGAAAAAGTATCAATTTTTTTTCACTGCATTAATTGTCTCATGGAGAAGTCTGATGAGTACCAGGACTGATGGAAAGTACACTAGGCAAGAGCAGAGAAGGCTGGAGCAGGCTTTTTGTTTGCTCACCGTGTCATGTGTGACTTCATCCTGAAGTTGTAGTTTAATTATATGTAGGCTTTGGTGACAGAGCTGACCCAAATCTCGGTCCATCCTGTTTGTTCCTGGCCTATGTTGTGGAAGTTGCAGGGTTTTTTATTTTCCGGACTGTTTTTTATCAGGATCATTTTCAGTCCTACAAGCAGTTATATTAGCACAAGTGGGAAGGTGATGAACTGTGATGTGGGGGGTAGGATCAACTGGCCAGAAGAGCAGAGAAGGAACTCTGTAAACTGTACCACTGAAGCCACATATCATGAAAATAAAAACTGAGGTGAGAAGTGGGAGTTTTCTAGCCCTTAATTAAACACAACCCACTGTTCAGTTACTCACACAGATGGCTTTCTTCAGAAGTATCTTGGCAAGTACCAGTTCACATAAAAGTATTGTAACCATCCTGGAATGGAAAGTTTGCTGACTTCAGTTAATCAGGAAATCCCTTTTTCTTTATGCAATAAATATATTAGCGCTGCAATCATAAAGCTTCTCATGACCAATGAAATGGGGTAGATGGGAGAACAAGCTGAAGAATTAAATAAAAATACTGAAATTAATTTAGGCTTTTATATTAATTCAAAAGAAGCATGAAGTTGGCCAGTTCTAACATACTGCGCTCAACAGGTCACATCTAAGGAGTCTCCCCTGTTCAACACAGCTGTATTTGCTTCCCCTTCCCCTGCCGAAGAGATATGGCTTTGTAATGTGACTTATAAGGAAGTGTTAGAATAGATAGTGAACTCTCACCCTGGGGTATAGCTGATTTTCGTTGCATCCCAGCAGGGACACTGCAGAGAGGATACAGAAGGTGTTGGACAGTCCAGGAATGTTCTTTGACCTGAAATCTGATGGATCATCTAGTCCGAGCTCCCCGGAATTTCCCAGCAGGAAGAGCAAGTGAGTTGAAAATAATTTTAATATTTGAAAGGTGCTCACTGTCTCTGGCATTGGCTTAAGCGTGCTGCATGTCTTGTTCTCTTGGAGGTTCTACTAAGACTGTCAATGTTAGGCATTGCAACATCTAAAAAATTAGATGCCTGGCCCTGGCATAGTTACTCAGAGCATGAAAGTAAGGGACTCAGCTTTCTTATACTGCCAGTGAAGAAAGATGGGACTGCTTAAAGGTGATTCTGGCTTCATTACTGTCATGTTAGCTTGCATCCAACAGGATACACAAAGCCCTAGCTATCCAATTATCAGTGCTTACTCATGTATATGATTACTCTGTAGCTTCTTCTGGAATGATTTTGGACCTTTCTGGAGAAGCTTGGACTAGGGTGTGTGAGGATGTTGGGTTGTACTCAAGTTCTACCCCTTTAAGCAGGATTCATGCTGCTACTTTCACCTGGCTTGAACAAGCCTTCTTTCAGTCCTACCAGGGTGTTCCAGCAGCTGTTGTGGTCTCGCGTGTCTCACCTGTGTTTCATTTGTAAAACATCCCATCTCACACTCAATGTTCTCCTGCAAAATGCTTCACGCAGTGGGCTGTGCAATAGCTCTTCGCTTTCTGGTGGTCAAAAACTGGAAAAACACACTTCAATGGCAATGCAGGTTTGCTTTTGATAAGCTGTATTATGGGACCATCTGCTGGGATGTGATCTTATCTAGACACTTCAGGGCATTGTTGAAACCACCCATTTACATTTCTAAGACTCCAAAACAGCCCGTCTCAAAATCCAGGACTGCATCTGACTTTCTGGAACAGCTTACCATGCCATACTTTTTCATGAGAACTTAAATGAAACCTGTGGCAGAAGGGGCCCTGAGCATTTAGTAGTATGCCATGTCCTTTTCCAGGACTGAGGCTGCTGTAACAAAATTGAAGGAGGTGCTCTAGAGCCAGGCCTCTATGGCTGTGGTTGCTCCAGATGCCAGGTCTGCCAAGGAAGGGCCTTCCTTCCAGCTAGACCCAATGCTCCTTAAGAATTACGGGCTGGTGACTATCTGCAGAAGTTCAGCTACCCAACAGTATGCTCTGGGACCGCCCAGACTTTTGTCACAGCCAAGGTGCAGAGCTCTGGTGAGTATGTTTTTGTGATGTTAGTTTTTGGGGTGGGTGACAGTCTAAAATGTTGGTGGGGAAGAGGTTAGGAGCATACTTAGGAGATACAAACCGTTTGAGATGGTTAGCTTTGGCAGCCAAGGACAAGAGAGAATGCAGGTCATGGAACCGCTGATTGGTCAGCAGTCCCCTTCTTTCAGCATTACTACATCATTCCACCTCCCCTCCCTCATCCTGCTTGGGGCCTTGATAGAGAACTAGAAGATCTTCACTAGCCACATATAAGGGACTTGCTCTGATTAGTTAGCTGAAACAATCATAACCAGCTAGAATTCTGCCTAGTAAGAAGACATCTTATATCTGAGCCAGTCCTGATTACCCTGTTAGGGAATGTGCGCATGTCTTGGAAACACTGAAGCTCTTAGTATCTGTTCCTGATTTCTGTATTTAATTGTGGGCTTCCCCTACTTCCCAACTCCTGTTCTTTGTTCATCAGCTGGCAGGCGAGCCAGCTGCAATGGCTGTTTCAAACTGGTATCATATGCTTTTGGAGAGCAAACATAGCGTCGGATTTCATTAAAAATAGTTGCATGAATATTGTTTATGCAAATGAGATATGGTCTTTTTGATTTTGCCGCCTATCTGCCTCTGTTGCTGAGATTCTCTCTTTGCATCTTTTTCTAATCATGGACTCAAAATCACTTGAACAACTCCAGAAAATGTCTATTCACAGTTCTGGTGGGTTAGCCCATTCCTGGACAATTTGCTCACAAAGAAAGGTATAGCATGTAGTTTTGCAAAAATTGTGATTATCCAGTCTTTCAGAGCCAGGGACACCAGCCCCACCTCCAAATATACCTTCTGTGTCATATCCAGGGCAGGTAATTACAGACAGGTAATTTCACTATACAAAGCAGACCATTTGCACCAAGACAGTATTAGCACAATATTGCAGGAAAAGGTTAGAGGTGTCATTCCAGCAGTCTTTCTCAGAGCTCCCTAAAGTTCTAGTGGACCACTCTATTTACTGTTCATTAAGTGTGGAATCATGAATCAGGATCATGATATAGGCATATTTCTAATGCTAAGGAACTCTAGTTGTTTCTAGAGTTGTTTGGGCAGCCCATATTGAAAATGTCATTCCTGATAGTCCATCAACCCACTCCTGGTTCTCTCCAGGCAATAGTGACAGAAAATTTCTCTATTGCAAAAATGTCTAGCATGTCACTGCTGGTCTTAAATAATCATTTCAGATTCCAGACTTGAATCATCAAGTTCTTCATCTATGTTCTACTAAGATCATAAATGGAAGTAAATGCAAATGAAACACATGAATGACAGATTAATTCTTATACAGTAGAGACAAACTAGCGCTTACTTTTCTTTCTCACATGCTAATTTCCAGCACAACCCTTCTGCAATCTGTGGAACTGCTTTGTTTGCCTGGACTAATCCTGTCTTCTCTCTCATGTGCAAGGGCTATTATCCTTAGTTACTCTGCTCTACTGTTCTGGTAGCCCTCCAAATAGTCCTTCTTCCCAAGGAACAGACTCAAAAGAATGAACCTAGCCTAGGTAACCAGGTAGTAAAATTCCCCAGGACCAGAATCTTTCTAGGTTGCATCTGAAAATCAAGCACTGTACTGTGTTTGTCCAAATCCTAGGACAAGTACATGGTTTTTTTGTGTATGTGTTTTCCCTCCTCAGACACATCTGAGTGGGGACATCAACCCAATCAAGAGTGGACCGGATGCTACTCTGTCATTGGTTACCTCACTGAAGATACTGGCAAGACTTTTGGGTTGAAATGAGAGCCCTGGCTAAGAGGAGCATGAACTTGCTTAGAGGACCTCCAGGACTGTGCAGAGGCGCGGCAAGTGGCACAACGTAATTAATGCTCCACTGGCAGTTTCTGGAGCATGAATCCTGCGAAAGGGAGATGGACAGACAGCTCCTATTGGAGCATTTTGGCTCTAGGTCCTTCCCACTGCCCAACCAGCAGTCGCTGAACCAACTTCTACTAATGATGGGGGTAGGAGGCCACCTTGAGTGCTCCCCTTCTCTTCTCCTCCCCTCAGATGATCAAGAAGAGAACAGCTTGGCCTACAAAAGGCAGGAGCAGAAAAACAGCTTGCCTCTGTCTCTAGTGCCTTTGGATGACTTAGGTCAGGAAGTGCAGTGCAGAGAATGAGGATGGAGAAATCTACTGAGGAAAGATGCTGAGAAGGGGACACTTCATGGAAATTTAGGTCCCAGCTCACTTAAATTCATGTTGTTGATTTGCTCTGCTAAGGGAAAAGCATGTTGGGCTTCATTTCCTCCAAAATATATTTCCTAATCTCCTGAGGAAATCTCTTTGGCCTATATTGGCCCCGTCTTTACTGTTCTCCCTATTGCATGCTGGCATGTAATATGCCTGGGACTTTAGGTTTCATAACTGCTTGTAGGTCAAGACTGGCCATATTTTGCAGTGTTTCTGAAGGAATAAATATATTTAGTATGTTAAAGTTGTCTTATCTTTCTTGCCTCTCTTAGCTTTTCTGGGTTTCTTAGCATTTTTAAGCCCTTCATCTCTCTCTTATTGGCTGGCCTTTTGTGCAGGCAGTGAATATTTCAGCATAAATGTTACACTGACATGCACAGTGCACCTTTCACCATGTAAGCACAGAGCCTCATGGACTGCTCTCTCTCCTGCCTGGCTGCAAGCAGTGGGTCCCAAATTCTGAGCTGGAGATAGCTGACCTTAAGGGTCTTGTCTTGGTGGATATGAAATTTGCAGCAGGCTACCTTGGTGTACGTGACATCTGAGAGATTGGTTGTCAAGTGATTCGGTACATTTTGTCATATATAATGCTTTGAATGTTCCCTTCATAGCCACCCTGCAGGAGCTAAAAATCTAGCTGAACGGACCTACGAGAGCCAGTCTAGTGGCAACCGGGCACACGTAAAATCACCAGGATGGGCACCCTGACATGGGGATGCTTGTGTCTGTGAGCAGGAAGAGAGTTCTGACCTGCCTCTGCAAGAGCTTGGCACTTGATCATAGTAATTTGGCATTGCGACATCCCAAAATAATGCAGATTTTGGTAATTTGTTTCTCCCTCCCTCTACTTTCTTCTTAATTAACCATTCTGTAATGTTGCATAATGTGTATTTGCTCTCCTGACTCCTCCCATTACAATTGCTCGGAAACCCAGTGGCAACACTTTACAAAGTGTATGAATAGAAAAACATTCTGTTACAATACCCTTGTGCTGCCTGGAGTTTTATATAAGAGCAAACATGGCTGATAGTGGCTGTGGGAGTGAGTTGCCTAGACTGGGTGAAGCCTTCCCTTTATACCTAGTTTTTTTTCATGTTGTGTTTAGGCCCCTAAAATCTTTGATCTTCAAAGTGAAGGCATCTGTTGTTTTTAATGAATGTCTAGAGGTAAAGTGCTTAAACGTAGGTGGTTTGACTCACTATAAGACACTTAAGTCTGTAAATGAAAAATTCAGCTAGTCTAAACATGACTGTTATTCTTTCATACAGTTATCTTGAATGGAAGTAATGAGGGATGTTTCTAATCAATGAAATACTAGAAATTAGGAACATGAGCTAGTTCTCCTGAATTCTGTTCCTAGTTAAAGAGCTAACTGGATGAGTAATTTCTTCTTATTGTTTCTGACTGCTATAATAATAAAGCTATGTCACCAAAAGTGTGAGCCTATGTGTAACAATAAGCATGATGATGTTGAATGCTTGCATTTCACAGAATACTCACGAGTCAAACTTCAGGATACTGTGTGATGCAGCCATTCTCACGTTCTTCATCCAATGTAAGCAGTTGTTGTAGTGGTTTGAGGGAAAATGCAACATCTGAGGAAGAGGAGAATGACAGGGTGGGTGCATGATCTCTAACATACAGTGGTTACCCCCCCTGATTTTACAAAGTGCATTATTAAACTAAGCTTTTTTTGCCCTCTCCAGGAGCTGATGCGCTCTCTTGAGGGCCCTCCAAAGCAGGATTCATTGGTTCAGAGTATGTGGCTGGATGAAAGTGACTGCACACCCACTACATCCAGCTCACCAGGTAAAAAAGAAAGAAAAACTTCCTCTACTTAAGCATCTAGAAACATATGATAGGTTGAGCTACATGATCTTTTGTATGCTATACTGAGGGCATGAGGAGCATAGATGACGGGTTCAGAGAAATGAGGAGAGAAGTTAGTATGCAAACTTTGATGGGGAGGGAATGGTGTGAGGAGAAAAGTGTTTCAGTAGAATGAATAAATAGTGCTGCACACACTGGAAAAGGAGTTAAAGCAGATTCTGGAGAATTAATGTGTTTGTAGGTCTCTATAGATAGCATGTATCTTGATGCATTGGTTACTGATATGACTGCAGTGCCATATACCCATTCCCATTTATAAACTGCAGAGTCTGGATATGGGCATTACTGCAGCCACAGCAGAAACAGTGCTCTGTGCACAATGCAGTATGCAGTATGGGTAACCAGGGAGCTAATCTGCACCGAGCTCTTTAACTGCCACAGCTAGGCTGAGTGATGCCAAAGTACTTGATTAAAATCAGCTTGGATCTGATCACAGTGTAGAGATGCTTATAGTCATTATAAACTCTCGTTAGTCTCATAGTAGGCAGAACTATTGCATTGTCTGTTGCTGAGGTTGTGTCAGCCATCCTGATCTCAGACCTCATTTGCAGTTGTGTTTTCACTTTGTTAAAATTAACTATTATAGGTTGAAACTTTTCATGCTGGGCGTCAGCCTAAAGCTAAAATTTTGGAAAACTTCAGTCAAAACAGTTCAGCTGTTTCTGAGAATGAGGTTGGAGGGATAGGTAAGATTTTTGGAAAAGACTGAGCTGAGACTGGGAAGTCATTAGGATCTGTGAAAGGCAAAACTTATATCTGTTGCTAAAAGTTTCTCAAGTTGAAGGAGGCCGAGATGGTAAGAGATTTGTGTGGTTGGTGAGGAAGAGAGTTGGTTGGAAAAATTGAAACCTTTATAGGAATTGTGGGAAAAGGGGGATTGTTGGAAAAGTTTAGAAGTAGGATTCAAAAAGGGAGACAATGTACTTGAAAGACAGAGCTAGGTCTCTCAATCCCTACAGCAGCCTTCTCTTTGAGATATCAAAGGTGGTCATCAGGACCCAGCTTAAATTGCCTGTATCTTAGCAACAGTAATGAAGATGTGATACTATGAGATGTTCTGCAGAAACGGAGACTCACTTGGAGGCACAAGAGAACCTAAGGGACTGGTACTGAAACTCTGGAAGAAGACGAAGAGCAAGTGATAGCGCAGGGGAAGAAAAAGGCTATGCCTTAGGCTATAATCAGGAAATGGGGAGCTATACACAGAGCCTATCTGCCTTGAGGGAGAGAGATAAAGGTGTTATATGAGGTTATATGAAAACACAGCATGTCAGGAACCTTCACAGTAGAAGACCACTGAAGAGCTACTATTAAGAAGCAGAAGTGGGGAAGGAACTTCCTTGAAGTCTTATGTTGAAGGCCAGGGAGATCTTTCCACAAATCAGCTTACCACTGTTATCTACCTACATAAAGCATGGTGGGATTGATCCCACTGATCCACTCTAGACTTTTTATTACAGTGGCTTGGGTTCTCTCTCCTGTTCCCCTCTACCTGTGCAGTATTTTCTTTCCTGTATTCCTTTTCTTTCCAGAAAATACCACTAGATCCTAGATCTGCTCCTGAGCTATGAAAGTTCAGATCTGGATGCAAGCGCTGGGTTGATGGTACAGGCCCTGCTCTCTCTGAGCTCCCAGCTGGCCTTCTTGGGGAAAAGCCTCTGTCATTCAGTATACCTTGCAGTAAAAGAGTTCCAGGTTATTCACCCTAGCTGTTACTCTTTTCTTATGGACGTTGGAAGCAGGGATGCTTTCCAGTGGGCTCTGCTTCTTTTTGCAGTTTCCCTACTTGCTGACTGTTTATCATCTCACAGGTATATTTATATACCACACTGAGAATAGCCATTAAATGAGATGTGAAGTTCAACATATACTTCAAGGTTTTCTGCACTTCATTTTCAGTGGCAGTGGTCTGATACTGACAGATCAAAACTTTCACTGAGGCTTCTCAGTGTCTTGGCATAGTGAGCCAGCTGTACCCTACAGGACTGGTGATGTAGTGTTGTCTCATATCTATCTGTAGGTCTTCTGTGTATGGATGTTTTCTTAAAAAAATGTATATGAAGATACACAAAACAAATACGCAGATTTGTACCTGGGCTTCTGACTTATGCCAGGAGAGCCATGGTTAAAAGGGATAAACATTGCATATATTTTTCTAACTAAATGGAATCAACTCACCTAATCAAGAGACTGTAGAGAAGTAGTCTTGAGTGCCATTTGTAGATTGCAGTAATAAGGCTTGGTGATCTCACCATCTGCAACATTCAAAATGTTTCTCTGACAATAGGTGAAGGGGCAGAAAGGAAGGAAAGAAAAGATCATCATGTGTGTGAGGTACATGAGGTAGCAGCATTGAGCTTCCACTTTCTAAGGACACATTGGGGCCTTTTCTAGAAATTTCAACAGTTTTTGAGCTAGAAAGTCATGGGATTAAGAGCAATTATTTGTGCTAAATATAATAGGAAGAAAACCCGTGATGATATATTAATTTTGATTTCTGCAAATATTAAAACATTTCCTATCTTTATGCTACACAGCCAGTCCTGATAGAAGACTAATCACTGCAAGGTCAAGCATGGGCATTACAAATTAACACTCCTAGACAAAATTACACTTAAATGAACATTAGTAATTTCAATTAATCTGTGCAACAGGAAAGAACTGTAATTACCCCCAACCAAGCAAAACAAAGTTCCTCGGAGGAACTGTCCGAGGTAAGCTAAACTGAAAACAAAAAGACATTTTGGATCATGGAGAGGCATCTAGGTTTTTTACTTTTGCCCTTTAGAGACATATACAGTAACTGTTCAGCCACAGTTAATGTACTATGTAAAATCAGACAAAACTCATTTTTATGAAGAAACTTAAAGACCGTTTGGATGCCTACTGTAAGTCTGGATCTTACTCTGAGCAATTCTGGAATTCCTAAATTTGATTCATGTGTGCATTCTTGGATAGTCCAATTTGCCATTCAGATTGTGAGAGCAAAGTTACAGAAAAGAAAAAAAATGGCAGCAGGCTATGGTCATTGTGCTGCCAAAGCCAGATAAAGACATAGAAAACTGTGGTAAGCCATTGCCAAGTAAGCCGTTGCAGAAACTATTTTCTGAGCTGGCTTTAAAGTACCAGCATGTCTCATATACCAGTGAATATCAAATAAGGCAGAGGTGGCTTTCCCTTGCAGCTTCAAGGCCAGGATATAAGTTCAGCTGTAATCCTCAGTGTTAACACTCAGTGTTTCCTCAGTGCAGTGTTAACACTTTCATTATGTCATTCCTTAGTTAGTTAATATGCATGCAGTTGTTTTAGATGTGTTTTTATTCAGTTACTTGGTCTATTAGTTACGTACTACCTACCAGCCTATATCATAATTAAATTTCTAAGTACAGAAGCCAGGACACTTACAAATGGATCAGAACCCCGGCAGTGCAGATTCATGTTGTGTAAAGCTACTGTTTAGTGACAAATGGCAGTGATTTACCAGTTCTGTTTTTTAAATCCTCAGAGTTTTGAATTATGTTATAAAGCTGGGAGAGGGGAAAAGTCTGCCTTTGAAAAACTGCTGAATCTCTCATCCGTCCCCTAACAAATACTGGCACGATCATGGAATGTTCAAAAAGAAGAGGTTCTTTTCAAGCACATCTTGGCTTACCATGTTACTGCAGAAATCCCTCATTAACTAAATTTTACAGCCTCCTTAGCTTTCCTGATTGAATGGTGGATAGCGGTGCCATCAAAGTCATTCTTTTGTGCTTCTTCTGCCCCTTTAGCACATTCAACAGTAACAGCAGCTCTTCAACTTCACCTCTGTCCATCTTTCTGTCTTTGATTTGAAGAAAAGAGTAATAATACAGATTTACTGTTGCATTACGGCTATGCATGAAACTCCCAGAAACTATATCATTTATGAAATGTTAATATTTAATACTCTTAAACCTCCTTTAGTGGTTTAAGATGGAGAGTCATCTAAGAGTAAATGAGAACCATGCAAGGAAGAGGACCATTATCTGAAGAACATCATAGTAATTTCTTGTGGAATGTGTATGGTGAATACAAGCAGATGAATACAGAAAGCAAAAGAATGATTTAACTTTTTGAAGTTTGCAATACATTTCATCCCTGTTTCTGCCACAGTGTTGATGGGTGATGCTAGGCAAATTCCTTAAACCCTGTGGGAATCTTGGGAGAGTGGCCAGAGTGAGGAAAGGGAAGAGAAATAGTGTGAGATCATAAGATTATATTCTCCTTGATAAAGTAAATTCATAAGGATTATGCATTCAAATTGCACAGACAGATTCAGTCATGGCATTTCTTAGCTTGATTGCATGATACAGCAGGAAGCTGTTGTATTATTTTAAACTAGGTTTTCCATAACAGCAGACTCATACAGAAATTGAAAAAGGGACTGATGGAAACATTTGGGAAAGTTGGAGAATGCCTTCATTAATTGTTAGACAACTATAGCTTCTTTAGGTAAAAGGCTATAGGCAGAACAGCTGTGGAATTGAAACACAGTCTGAAACTAGTGGCCAAATTCAGTAATTTTTAGTATTAAATGAAAGATGGGTAGTCACTTTCTTTGTGCTTCAGGCTGGAAAGGTAAGTAGCTCAAGATAGCATTAGTTGAGTTGGGAGTGGATAAACTGCATTGTCCCTAACATTTACCATAACTTGATGAGCCACAGATCTGAGAAGACTTCTTTGGGGTAAAACCAGTTATTTGTGCTGCACCTGCAATACTCTTCTGATTATCTCTTTATTGTTTTTTGCTTGGTTCCTTCCAGGAAGCAGATTGCTTCCTTCCAGCAGTGTCGCTGGCTCCATCGAAAAAGGAAAAGGCAACAAAGCAGATGCTCAGCACCATAGTCCAGTAAGTGCTTTAATACAATGTATTTCCTTCTCATTTGCACAGAGATACGGATAGGAGAGAAAGAGAGGGACTTACTTAATTTAGGAAGCTTTGCTTGCTCAGGGTTCAAAGGACAAGAAGGTGCTTGTAGGGGAAGGTTAAAGAACTGCCTTATCCTGCAGGTCTCCATTTTGTGCTGTGTGTGAAAACCCTCATCGCTGGAGGATTGTTTCAGTGCATACCGGGTAAGAGGCACAGGTAGCTGACATAGAACTGAAGGCCAGTGGTTCAGGGTGTAAGCAGGCTTCTGGCCCATCCCTAACCTCATTAAAAGAACACTTAACAAATGCTCTACAGCTTAATCCTATACCTTCTTTTCCAAATTACCTTTCATGGCCAGTTGACTCTAGCCTGTTTAATCTACCTAAACCTTTCATTGCCTTTCATTGTTGCCTGCTCCCTCTCAGTGAATAGCATTCCTTCTTGAGAGACCTCTCTCTGCAGTAATCTATACTCAGCTCTGCTCTCTTCTTTTTCTTCCATTGTTCTGTTTCCTTTACTCAGATGCCATCGCTGTGTTCTCTACACCTATCTTGTGCTTCCTGTGGTTTTGTTACTTTACTGAACCACTTTCTTTTTTGCTCATTTTCTGACTTTGTGCGTATTTCTATACTTCCTCGTATGCTTTCAGCCTAGCACTGGTGGGATCTACTTCTCCATGTCGTTTGCACAGCTTTCCCAGAAAGGGAGTGGGACTGTATCTCCTGGAGAGGTCTGCAACAGGACAAAGGGGAACACAGCATCTAGGGAACAAACTTGGAGACTAAGTCTGGTTTTGCTTGCATCTTTGAGAGTTGTTTATTTAGACTCAAAAATCTCTGACAGCAAAACAGCATGCTACCTTGTAGGTGATGTAAGGCTCTCAGGAACTAGTTTGCTATATAGCTAGATAGAGGAAGTATCTTTTTTTTTTTGAAGAAAATAGGCTATGTCCTAAATAGCTGCCAGTTCCTGTTCGTGCTTAGCATCTACCTCTGTGCCTGGTAAAAGAAGGTACAACGGATTAGATCTTTAATGGTTTTTCAAATAATGCTCACCTTTTAGCTGCTCAGCCACCTAAGTGACATTCAGAGCAGCGAGATAAAAGTTAAAACTCCTCATGCAGTGCTGGCCACTGGTGTCCCCATGGACTGACATTACCAGATCAGAAAGAGAAACCATGCCAAGGAAGCTGGTAGTCAATGCTGAGACTACTTAAATGCCTGCTATGTCAAAAATCTGTATTGAGAATGACGGGATAGCTGCCAGCTAGCACTTCCTTGGGTAATCAGCAGGGTCTCTGCCAAGAGCTCATGCTCCTGATCCGCTCTCTACTGTAACACAGGAATAAGGTTACGTAAAGAAGAAACAGAACTGGCTCAAATCTGTCTCTCAAACAGGCAAATTTTACTGGAACTAAGTACACAGTTTTGAGTTACAAGCTTAGGAACAATGTGCATATTCACCAGCAGAACTGCAAAGGCTGTAATCACTTGATAGTGGTTATCACAGGGAAAAAGTAGTGTAAGGAAAGAACTGAATTTTGATTTTGTTAATCTCAGTATTGTTTAAATAGTATTTTAATACCTAAGGCTTTGAGCGTTTTCATTCCCACTGATTTCAGATGGGTCTGAGGACCTTGAAGATCATTTTGGGAAGTATATGCCCACCTGTATTATCCATCTAATTTGTCCCATCTGCCATTATCAACAAGTTCTGTCACAAAGGCAGGTGTTTTTCAGTCAAACTGGTTCAGAGGATAAAGTTTCATGAGATCCTGGTTTTGACCATGAGGTTAATTTGTTTGCACTTTACTCACCTTCCCACCACAGTTCATTACCTCCGCAAATGTGCTTTCCATGCATTTCTGAGACTGTGCTGTAAATCAGGTCATAGGCGTGATCTAGCTTAAAACGGTATCTATCATTTCAGTCATTGAATTTTTATCTCAGCCTCAGAATCAGTCTTGGGGCTCAATTTGAGGAGTATCAAATTTCAGGGAAAATAGTCGAAAAGTTCTTGACATGACTTCAAGGGATTCAAAGAAACCCTACCTACCTATGGCATCCAAGCACATACAACTTCTCTGTCTTTCAGACTCTTAATTGAATGTAGCCTCTTATACCTCACAAAGATTTCCTTAAATTCCAGCCTGGATTTGCCCAGAGACTAATGGGTGCATTGGTGGAAGGGAGAAAGGAGTTCTCAAATTACAGGGTGTTTGCTGTAAAAGCTGAGAGGGGGAAAAAATTGTGGATGGGGGACAACTGTCACTCCATAACACAGTTATAAGAACATGAAAGAAAGTGATTTTTTTTTTCTGCTGCTTTGTTCCAGGATTTGCTGTTCAAGCGAACAAGTGTTTATCATCTTAAAGCTGAGAAAGAGACAAAACTGGAATTCCAGATGCTGTTAGTCCTCTGCTTCCTCTAGTGATGCGTCAAGGCAGCCAGGAATCACTGAGAAATGAAGCCTCATAGAAATTTGTTCAAGTGTATTATTCCAGTTCAACCAATACAGGGCCAGGTTCAAGCAATTTCAGTGTGAACTAACTACTGTAACGAGAAAGTGAAAAGTGAAGTGATCTGGTTTTAATTTTACTGTTTGCTTCTCTTTCCCCCTACAGACTGTATGATAGGATGTCCCTCAGTCATATTCCAGAGTCACCTTTGGATAGGCAGCAATTAGGCCATCCTTGAGGAAGCGAACCACTGTATAGTTCAGGTACCAACTAAATTTACATGGTATTCATCAGTGTCCTCCAAGGACATTACTGTAAACCTGGCATTAATGAAAGCCCCTGCAAGGGCTGGTCCTGGTCCCTGAGAATGCATGGAAGTCACCTCAGATGTCAGTCATTGCAGTGTAACATATATAAACTACTGTCCACTTTGGCTACAGTTGCTTCTGAAGTACTTGATGGGTTCTCAGATTTCCCTTTGGGATTGATTTGTCCCTCTCTGAGTTTTCTCTCTAGTGTCTCCTCCAATTGTCATGTTACAGAGGAAGCATAAAAGTTAAAAGGAAGCCTAAATGCCTTATTCCATGCTTGAAGTATCTATACAGTATCTTGGACTTAAAATAAAAGGAGTATGTGGCCAAGGTCTCTTAGGCTGTGTGTTTGTTTCTGAAGATATGAATATGCATGAAGATACATGAAATCTCTACACAGTCAAGATCTCAGTACTGTAACAACAGTTAATCCTCATGCTTTAGAGTAAGAGAAAAGAAAATAATCAAAAAGGAAGAATGTTTAATCTGTAAGAAATTTTTAATGTTCAACAAATCTGCTGAGAGAAAAGCAGGAACCTGGTGTCTGTAAAGAGCTGACCAGACAGGTAATACTGGGAAGTCTCAAAATTTATCTTATTTAGGGATGAGACTGAGCTGTAAAATTAGTAATTAAAGAAGAGAAAGCCATCTCTCCTTTAACTGCATACATTCAGATGATCACCAGAGATTGACCACATTTTCATAAATGCCATATCTCTGGGACATTTTGTAAGGAGTACAGTATTGTTATTTATGTAGATATGCACACACACACACATATATTTTTTTCTCTTTACATTTTTCCCCTGGATGCTCACAGCTTGGGGCTTGGAAGTGAAGGAACTGGTCCCAGCCATTTTTCTCCTGCAAGACAAACCAGTACAAAAGAGGAAGTTAGAATTTAATACACAGAACTGACTGGGCAGTCACATTTCTGCAGCAGAATAACTGTTCTTACTCCTCTTTTGAAGGGTAACTACTAGTGATGGGATATAGATTTCTATCCTGTTTGACATTCTTCAGCCAATCTCCTAAATCTTTTTCTGTCCAGTCACAACTGGAGCTGCTCAGAAGAATTTTTTTCCTCTGTCACGCATAAGAGGTTCTGCAAGTCTGTTGCGCTCCAGGTGAAGAGGAAGCCAATTCTTTCTAGGATCCCTTTTCTGAAGGGCTGGGGTGAGAAGGGAAAGGGTGGAAGGCTACGGAGTAAGATAGAGAAACAAGAAGAAAATCTGTTTTAAGTCTGTGGGGACTAGAAATCGGGTCATGACAATTCAGTTAGGATTAGTGACTATGGTAGTGGCTATTGGGGAGTGGATCTTCCTCACTCTAATCTTCAATGAGAATATTTTTTAGAATTGGGAACCTATCCAGAAAAAATAAGCCTCAAAAAATCCACCCCTTCTGTGAATCCTACAACTAATTTTAATTTTCTGCTGAAATTTTTCAGCAGTACATCAGAACTAGTTACGTTCATAACTCTTTCTCGTGGCTGCTTTCCTAGTCTCCAAGTGCTGCCAAATCTGAGCTCAACAACCAAATTCCCTCTAACTCATGTAACAGCAGGTGACTGAGCTGTATTAGTTATCACAACCCATTCACATTCTCTTAAAAAATTAAAAATTTGGGTTTTCTTAACAGAAAAATGAAAACAAGGACATATACATCCAAGAGGAAACACAATGCCTGTATTGACTAGTTATGTAATTACAATTACAGACTGGAGAGTTGGGGGTAACGTCCTTTTTATTAAGGAGGAACAGATTTAAGATGACTATGTTAAAGCCACAAATAGAGGATTAACAGCCATAGTCTTAATCTAAGCCAAGATCTAATGCCCAGTATCAAATCATTAATTTGAAAATGGCATGTGCAACACCCAGCCTTAAAACATACCAATGGGAGTTCTCCATTCAAGTTACTACATGTTTGGAAGAGGACTATATCTTTGGTCACTGCAACCGCGTGCAGATACTTTCCATTCAACAGTTTTACCCCATGAGGATACTAAACATGCATAATCCAATATTTGAAAGACAGTAAGAGTGTTTCATTTAACTGTATTCCATATTTCATTAAAAGAAGATGAAAACATGAAACCGAAAGTGAGGTTATGAAATACACTCACCTATAACACTTCCTAGCAGCTCTAAACGATCAGAGCCAAAAAAGAGATGCTGTTCCCCATTAAAATGTGCCACAACAGCAGGCATTCCAAATGCCTATCAACACCATGGAGATGAAATAAAGAACATTACAATAAGAGAAATTTTTGTAGATACGTGACCAATCCTCAGGAATACAAACCAAAAACACTTGACTTTTTTCCTCCCCTTCCTTTCACCTTCTTCATTCTTAAACATGAGTCTAATGTAGCCATCACACAGTAGAAGACTCTCCAAAGCCTATGAGCCCCTTGAGCAAAAACTCAACCTACTAAACTCACAGCTTTATGTCAAGTAGTGATAAATGGTGTCTCTCCATACTGGTCCTGTAGCTCCCACCCTTATTATCCAGCTGGAGTGGGTCAGGGGGTCAACCTTAGTTTCCCAAATGACAATGCAATAAACTATTTATCAGTAATAATGAGTTACCTTTCATATGCTCAAAAGGCAAAAGAGACTAAAAGATTGGTCTGTTTAGTGCTTTCTCATCATCACTCTCTTTACCACTATTCTTAACAGGGAAAGATTGCATAAGTGTGAGCCCAAATGGCACTAAAGCGTCTCACCCCATATTTTATTGCATCCTCTGTTGTCTCTTTCAGACGGTCCTTCACTGCAGGGGATGAAATCATTTCAAGAAGCTTCTGGGCCTGCTCTGATGATAGCCCAGCCTGTCTTGCAACCTAAGAAGACATCATTAAGTATTGTCTAAGTATTTTAATTCCTACTGTGGACTAATTAAATTAATCTTCAGTGTTGAAGAAAAGAATCTATTACAAAAAAAATTACAAGGTACTCTTGAAGCACTTCTTGTACAATTGTCTGGCTGTATTCCCAACCCATTCATCATTTATCAGCTCCTAGATAGAAAGTAAATGGAGTATTTTACTCTTCCAATCCCCAAATCTGAACTTTTTGCAGGAGTTCTTAAATAGAAAAAAAAAAAAAGTGAGTTTAACCTCTGTTCCAATGAGTTATCACATACCTTCTTTTGTTAAGTTATTGTTCTGAAAAGGAAAATCAAGAGTCTTACTGTACTAGCCTGCCAAGACAAAAAGGGACAGTATGTATGACAAATGTAGTCCCACAGGAAATATGAATGATGCTGCATGAAAGAGACTGTAACTCTTAGAGGTCAAACAGTTGCTAGTGCTACTGCTGTACTTCTTCACCCTCACCTGTGCCACTATGCAACAGCAGCAGCACAGGCATAAGGTAAAGTGGCTAAAAGCAAAAGCTGCATCAGTTATTGGGTCACATTTAAGTTGCAAATAGCTATTTTTAATAAAGTATCCCACAAACAATGTTAACTTGCATGCCATTTACGTGAATGACATACCCCCTTCAATTTTTTTTTTTTTTTAAAAAGTGTTTAGAGTATTCAACATGGACCAGTAATTCTGGATAGGCAGGTCTTCTTAGATTCTTTCTTTGTCAATCACTTTTCCTTCATTTAATACCTATGTTTTATTGTGTCTTCTCCTCCTTCCACATCAGGTTGATCAGGACCTCTTTTTGACTCTGCTTGGATGGGAGACAAACAAGTGTGGCACAGCACTAGAACAAAACGTTACATATGCTTGGCAGCCACAGTGTTTAGATTACAGTAGTTAGAGAGACAAAATATCTGGTCATCACTACTCCAGAGCAGAAGGAGGAGTATTTCAGAGGTCTGGGGCAGGATTCAAGGACCACATTGTTTCTATAGTAATTTAAGAAAAGTTATTGCTGACTAAAAAAAGGAGTAAAAGAGTACTGCAGGCACACTAAGGAACTGCATTAAGTAAGCAACATACCATTATTCATCAGTATATAAAAAAAATTCATCCCAAAAACTCAGACAAAGAGGTTGGGACTCCTCACACAGCTCTGGATGGCATATTTCCACAAGAGGAAGGTCTAGTGCTTGCTGTAGGAGTGAATGAAGACAGAAACAAGCTGACAAGGAGATGCCTACCTCTCTCCCTTGATGAACATGGATGGATACTCAGGGACTGCCAAGCTGGCACTAAATTACAGAGATCTTTTTGAGTATGAAGTTTGTTTTTCTGAAGTTCTGCGTGTCCTTGCTTTACTTTTAAGGAATGACAGATTCAGAGGCTAAGCAAGGACTTTCTGTGTATATTTAAATATATCCTTTACGCGTTGCCTCTTGAAGAGGCAGAATGCAAAAAAGTACTTTGATGAAATTCTGGTAAAAAGATGCACTAAGATGAAGCTAAAGAGCAAGGACTAAACTCTGGGGAAAGCAGCTGCACTGCAAGTTTCAGCTTTCAAGTATGGATGTTAGGAGAGACTGCACCTCTAGCCATGGACAGTTCCTCTCTTTTCTTCAGATTCCAAAGACTCTGAAAATCAGGGAATGTAGAAGCTGGGTACACTAACCTAGGTGCCATTGCAGCCTCTACTGCAGAAAGTCTGACAAAAAACCAAAATCTCACCAACAAAAGAAAATGTGAGAAACAAGTGTAATTTCTGAGCAATGTAAAAAAGGCGATATAGCACTGAATTTAACAGTAAAGCCTGGCTCCACCACTCCATGGAGCGTCAACTCCCCATTCAAACACTGCATTTCACCTGAAGATTTCACAGCAGCAAAACCACAAAGGCGTTCTGGAGAGACTGTTGATACTTATGCTACTGTTAATAAAACAGTATTTACCCAAAATGGATAATGTATTATTTGTTTTCTACCACGTGAATTAACAAAGATGGAGATTCTGGTTCTGAGTACTGTTCAAAGCCTTGCCAAAAACATTTCGAACAGAGCAGCGGGGGAATTAAATACACTTTTTTCCTTTCAGGATATGTTCAAAACTCCAAATGATCATTTGACAAATCAGTTAGTAGTAAGGGCACATTAAACTGTCTCTATGGCTATTACTGATCCAACCAACCAACAGAAATTTGTATCCTTCCATTCTTTAATAAACAAACGCAGAAGCGCTAACAAGGAGACACTTACAGCCAATATACTTGCCGGCTGACTGATATCTTCATGCTGGTGAAAGAAGAAAATAAGTAATTCAGTACTTATGAATAAAAGCTCAGTTCTGGACTTGAAAGCAAATTTTCTAAGAAAACAGAAGTAGAAAAAAGAATATTAGTTGATCCTGCTGGAGAAACTTTCCTTGGAAAAGTTTTAAGTCACATAATCTAGAAATATTAAGTGCCTTCTGATATGAACTACTGGTTCATATGTTCATCATGTAGGACTCTCCACACATACCTAACAAGAGAAATGGCACATAAAACTGACTGGAAGCTAGTTCTTGTCTCATAATGGCTCCCAAACAACTAAGATCTTAAGTTTCCTGCTATGACTTCATTAAGAGACATTTCCTTTCTCTTGCTCACACTCCACAACTGAATGAAGTGGGGCTGACGAGGAGACAAAGGAGCAAGAAGTTGGCTTTGCAGGATACTGACCTGTGACCAAAAACGTATCCAGAACTCTCTAGATATGGGTTCCAAGAACTGTGGTTGTGTCATATCAATTGCTGTGATAAAGCGCATGGCACCAAGACTGCCTGGGATTGGTGAGAAGACAGAGAAACATACTGAAACAAGGTACAGGATCAGCAAAAACAGATGAGGTCTGCAGAAGTGCTGTCCAAGGATAGCACGATCTTCTCTGCAACGGTCCCCAAAAGGTAGAGCTTGTGTTGATTCACAGTATCTTCTATGCTAATATCACTCACAAGCATATTTGCCCAGTTTGGAAGTTCCCTTTATGATTAAAAATGCAGAGATTCATATTGCTCACAGATACAGGAAGAGGCCACAGACAGAGAATTCACTTTCATCTTTACTGTCACGGAGAATTTGAACCAGATGAAACACACATCACCAGCTGAGTTGCATCTCTTACTCACTTGTATTGAGGATACGTTGGAAGTCATCTGCTGAAAGTTGTACAGGGACTTGGTAATATTTTCCCAACCTTTTTAAATCCTTCAGCATGTATTCAGCACGCTTTGGCAACATTCCTGGGGGCTTGTTACCTTTCAAAAAGAGGTTCTATTATAAGCAGGAGATTTTAATTATATTGTAACAACATTGGACAAAACAACACTGGACAGATTAGATCTTTCTCAAACATATGCCTAAATAAGACCGCAATTTCATACTGAATTAGTGAAAAATGCAGATTTTCCAAAGTTAATGCTATGGTTTGAACACATTTGTTTTGGTTTTGCAATGTGCAGATAAACACTTAATTAATAGAACCAGTTTTAACTATGGTACAAAGTCCAGGTACTGAAGTACAATCCAGGCAGGGATTTATATTGATTCAGATAGATGACCTCTAAGTCTCCAGGCTTGTTTACACACATTTGTGCGCAATGAGACTTGTTAATTTTCTGATTTATGAGTTATAAATCTCAGTGATTCAGTTGTTCTAATAAGGTGACACGTACTATGTACTTTGATCCCTCCTGCATCTTACAAAACTGAAAGTGTTCCACAAATTCTTTTTTTTTTTGAATGCAACACAAAACTTTTAGAAAAAGATCACATATCAAATTATTATTATCCTCTTTTAGAATCGAGGAACTTTGGCATGGACAGTACGTGCCACAGACAGTATGAGCATTAGAGGGAGCATAGTTTTAACAGTGTGATAATCCTTGAGGCTGATTTCTCAACCACTGCTTAGCTCCACAATCCTAGAGTTAATCTGTTACTAGTGCCAAAACTGCTTTTAAAGCTGGCTCTGCAGGGTCTGCACTCAATAGGATTCTCTGAGAGCTCTCACACAGCAGTGTCCTACTACTGAAGCATGTCCCTACAAAGTTAACTTCTCCATAATGCCTACCAGTTGCCTGCATTATGCCACCAAGATAAGCTGGACGAAAACGCAGATCAATGTTCCAGATATGCTGGTACCGGCAGAGTACCTACAACAAAGAAAAGTAAGGACAGATGGAACAGTCCGAGATGCTTGCAGAGCTGCATGCAACCAGGAAATACGCTAAAGCATGAAATGGACACAGCAGATAAAACCCTTTATTATCATACTGGTGATAGCACTAAAAATCCTTTCCTGGAGCCTGCCACAGAAATCTGGTCTCAGAAAACTTGAGTTAGGATTATGTAAGTCTGAGCAGGAGCAGAACGAGCGAAAGATCAGGCTCATGAGAGGACAATTATTTTTGTTAAACATTAAAATATTCTCCAAAGCAAAATGCTCAGCACACGCCATGCTGCCACTTAGCTGAGTTATGCTTCCTTGCCGTTCCCGGCCTTCAGCACGTGAGGAAGACGCCGAAAGACGTCACAAGCGGGTTAAACATAAAATCTAAACAAGACAAAATCTAAATATATGTAGGGGGAAAAAGCGTTAGACAGAGTGGCTCTGCAGCTGCCCTTCAGCCAACTCCTGAAGGAGAACCGGAGCCGCAGCAAGCGGCTGCGCGGAAGAGGAGCGGGCGGCGGGGGACCGCGGGGCGCCCCGACAGCAGTCCGCCCTTGCCCCCTTCGCCGCTGCCGCGCCGCCCCCAGCAGGCCGGATGCCGCTTTTCTCCTCGCCGCCAGCCCGGCCCCTGGCCCGCCCCTCTTGCCCTATGTCTCCCTCCCCTTCCCGCCGCGCCCTCTCCTCCCCTCCCAGATTTGGTAAGAGCGTGTCTCTCTGGTAAAGAAAACTTCCGATGCTTCGGAGAAAAGCGGTGACCATGAAGCCAGGGCAAATGCTCTGCAGGCACGGTGCAGGCTTCAGCAGCTGCCAGGCAGCGCTTTGTGTGTTCCTGGTGGCGTGTGTTGAGCAGGCTCTGTCCCGGTAGTAGTGTGTCCTGTCCCCCAGAAGCCTGTTCTTTTCTTCCCTTAGGAAACTTGCTTCAGGAAGCTGGAATTTCATCGCTGCCCCTTGCATCATGCTTACTTCTTACGCTCAGATCGTCATTCTGAGTGGTGGTAGCGTATCTCTGAAATTTTTGTCTGTTCTCCATGTTGGTTTGGAGTCTTCCTTTTGGCAGAGCCTGGACTAAGTTATGCAATCACAGCTTGAACCACTTAGCCGACGCAAATCTTTGCTAAGGATTAGTCTCGTGTGACAGGCCTTTCCTTTGTTGGTAGGATACGCGCACAGGAGAGGACAGGGTATAGTGGAAAAGGCTGAAACAGTGACCTTGGAGGGAAGTAGGAGACTTAATGGGTGACTTCTGATGGTTTATGGGTATGGAAATAACTTGCTGTTTTCTTGTTTCTGTTGTGTTCTGGAAAAGAAGATTTTAACTATGTTTTTGAAAATAAACAACATCTTTCCAGGGTATACTTGTCCCCTTATCTATTTGTCATCCATATGGAAATGATTCCACGTGCCAGCAAATCCTAGTTATCCACAGAGGTTGAAAGGAGCAGCTTGATTTTCCTTTTATGCAAAACTAAAAACATGCACTTCCTCTTGAAAGTGACTTCATATCGTTAATAACCCAGAAGGTTTAAAAAAAAATTAAAAAGCAAATAAAGTCTTTATTGGAAAAGAGACATTATTATTTCCTATCTAACAGTTTGCAGCAATTTGGGAATTAAATTGCTCTTTTTTTTTTTTGGTCATGCAAGGGAAGTTTACAGAAATATAAAGTAGGAAGTATATTGGAAATGAGATCAACATGTTGAAAGGAAAAGTAACAGATGGCAAAGAATATTAAAAAGTGCTGCTGCAAGGGGATGTGAATGAACTTCAGCATGAACAGGCAGTGGACTCTTGAGTTGTTCAGTTTGCAATTCCATGCGTAAAGGGTAAGAGTGAAATAAAAGAAGCACTTTCTCTACTTTCTCCTAAATTTCTAGGGATAAACTCAGTAAAGTTACTGAAGTGCATTAAGTAGATTAAAAGCTCCTTTCACTACTAATATTAGAAATTAGTACCATCATTAAATTATTGGGAGGAAAGTTTACTCTTTCTCCTGGAGCCTATCCCCGAGATAGACATTAGTCCTTCTTTCCTTTTTCTTCACCTTCCTTTCTCAAGATGAGGTGGACTTTGCAGTTGCCAACGATGAGCACGCTTTCTGGGGTGTGAGGATCCAGGCTGTTCTCTCTAAAAGAAGGAGACCTCAATTCTGATCATGTAGTGCAATTGGAGACGGCCTTTTTGGCAATACACCTTTTTCAGGAGGCTCGGTTCATCTCAATACCCTCCAAAGCAGCGCTAGATGTAGGGTGAGTTCCTGCTTCCTGTTTGCTGTACAGGGCTTCCCTCTGTGCCTGTACTCGGGCAAATTCTTCCAAAACGTGGGCAGCCAGCCCTCTTAGATCCTGAGTTTTCTAATGCAGCTACTGCCACCCTGAAGGGTGGCACTATATAGGCCTTGGATCCCAAGGCTTCTTGAACATATCTAGCCCATAGGTCCTTGCAGATGGTTTGTGCTCTATGCTTTATCCAGATACACTACCTCTACAAAAACAGTCTCAATGCATTGGCTTCAGTCCTTTTAATCATTATCCTAAATACTAGGTAGGTTTTTAGTAAAACAAAGTAGAAGTTCAATAAATTTTAAAGCAAAGTTCTACATTGGAACAGGCATTAGGATTTGAAACAAAAAGGTTAAAAGTTAAACAAACAAATGTAAATTAAATTGTACTTAGTAGCACAACTCTTTCCTACTTGTTCTGTTGTCTGGAATCCAAAATTCAGTTCTTGAGGTGTTTGAAGAACCTAGGGAATTTGTATCATGTGACGGCTCTGACTTTTAAATGCTCCGTAAATTAAAGACTTACTCCTTTCTCTCTTCTTTGTAGATTTTCTACTTCAGCTGCTTACAAACGCTATTTCAGTGGCTTAAATCCTGGGCATGTTTTTGAAGCATTCCACACGAATACTTTCTTATGAAACACAACAAATTCCCAGCCAAAATGATTCTACCTCCCTAAGAACACTGTGGTCCTTTGCATCACTTTCACTATAGCTCCTTTCACCTCCTTATTCCTCAGACTGTATATGATGGGATTGAACAAAGGAGTGATGACACTGTAGAAGAGAGAAATCATTTTGTCCTGATCTGGTGAATGGCTAGACCCAGGCCTCATGTACATGAACATGGCACTGCCATAGAATAGTAAGACCGTTGTAAGGTGTGAGGCACAGGTTGCAAATGCTTTGAGCCGTCCCACAGCAGAGTGAATCCTTGAGATGGCCACAAGGATTTGGATGTAGGAGATCAAGATCAAGCAAAAAGGGCAAAGAAGAATAAGAATGCCAATAACAAACACAGTGATTTCATTCATGTGTGTGTCAGCACAAACAAGTTTAAGTAGCGCCAGGATATCACAGTAGAAGTGGTTAATCGCATTCGGGCCACAGAATGGCATCTGCAAAGTCTGAACAGTATGAATTGTAGCAAGAAGAAAACCACACATCCAAGCTGTTGCTGCCAGCCCTATGCAAAATATATGGTCCATAATCAGAGTGTAGGACAGTGGATGACATATTGCTATGTACCGATCATATGCCATGACTGCTAATAAAACACATTCAGTGATGCCTAAGGCCAGAAAGAGGTATGTTTGAACACCACACCCAGCAAAAGAAATAATTCTCTTGGGATTCAAGAGGTTGGCCAGCATTTGGGGGACAGTGCTGGAAATGTAGCAGATGTCTACAAGTGAGAGATGTCTCAAGAAGAAGTACATAGGTGTGCGGAGCTGGGAATCCAGCCAAGTCAGTACCAGTATGATCGTATTTCCCACCAGAGCGAGAGTGTAGATGACTGTAAACAGCCCAAACAATAGAAGCTGCACTTTTGAGCTGCTGGAGAGACCCAGGAGAAGGAATTCAGTCGCAGAAGTTTGGTTCTCCATCTTTACTTTTTGTTGCTTTCTCTGAAATGGTAGAAATAAATGTCCTATGAACTGCATTACCATGTTAAATGTGAAGATGAATTTAAGAGAGGGGCCTGACATAAGTTTGCATGGAAGTGTTTCCCTGCTTCTACCCAAATTTTCCTTGCCAATTAGAACAAGCCAGGCAGAGCATATATAACAGCATAAAATTAAATACAACATCATTATATATTACTGATGGAAAAAAGAGACAAACACTTAAAGCTTCTGCATGAAGAGATCCTATAAAGGAACTATTTTCAAATTACCTCTGACAGTGCTCATAGTGAAAAGCAAGATAAAGAAATGAAATGCATACAGAGAGAGGGAAACATAAAAAACACTCTATATGTCCCATAATTTATTATTTGTTGTGACAGCACTGAGAAACCCTGTCATAAAGCCAAGGTAGGTATGGTCTGCTGTATTTGTAGGCTTGTATTTGTAGGTAGGTATGGTCTGCTTGTATTTGTAGGCTGCAAATGCTCTATTAAAAATCATTGGCAACTATAATTTAAGATCACAAACAATTTCTCTTCTGTTATTAAACTAAGTCTTGTGGCTTTAAGAGCCAGATGTATACATGAGAATATCAGCTTTAATATAGAGAAAAATTTTTTCTAAATGACAAATACCATTACTTTGAGTTGATAAGTAAGAGAAAAGTGAAAGCAATCTACTGTTGAGTCCCAACATAGTGTTTATTTTCTCTTTACATCCAGTTCTTTTTGAAGGTAGAGTGAAAAAGGATACATGCAGATCACAACTGAACTTTGATTCAGGCAGAAGAGTAATCTCAATCAGCGGAAATTTTGCTATTTGAAGGGCTCCGTAGCCTGTCCTGTAAATATACACGAAGATGAAAGATGTTAAAAATGTTGAGGTTCTTATATTTTATTCTTTGCATCGTCATTAGTTTATGCAAGATTGGAGAATAATATTTCATTCTCTTTTGATAAAATAAAAGAATCTCATGATTATTCTTCTGTTTTTTATCCTGAGGATATTCAGAAGACACCAAATCAGATGGTTTATTAACCTGCTCACATGCAGCAGATTTATAATAAATAAATAAAATAAATAAATAAAATAACTTGTTTAATTTTAGATGTCCTATGACCTCAGGTTTAATTTCATGCTATGACATGAAAAGTAGAACATACCTAAATAATATACTATATTGTAAAAAGAACTAAACACGAATATAGCAATTGTAATGATATTAGGGAAAATTAAAGATAACATCTCATCGTGCTTACCTACTGTTTGAAGAGAAGCTATTTCTCCTCTATTTAATGGCATCACAGCACTATGAGAATTTATCAAGTTCACTATTTTTATATCAAATCAGTACTAAATTTCTGGACAAGTATACTGGAGGTGTGACTCAAATACGACTAGGCTTAGGCCCTTACCGAACTGGGTTGTAGGAATACTTCTGTAATGTCACTGGAGAGACAAGTGATGTTGAAAAGAAAATTAATCTCTGTGGAATTTTGAAATCCTGTAGGATTTTATACATAATAATCTGAAGTATAAATATCCTATTAATTTATTTGTGTCTCAGGAATTTGATCCTTAATAACCTTAACAATATAGCATTGAGATTCACCCTTAATAATCTGGAGAGTCTGAATATGTATTGGAGAAGACAGTCCTGAACTTCTCCTGGAAGGTTATTAAGAAACACATCAACAAATATTTGAAAGAAAAGATCTCAGAGCATTTAAGATCTAACAGATCTCAAATTTGACTCATGAACCTCAGTAAAGGTGCAAGGGTGTTGTAAGGTACAAAGAAACTATGTGCTTCTACATCTGGGATGACCATTGAGGAACAGTTCTGAAAAGCAAAGAATTAACTATGGATCTTTATTCTCAGAACAGGAAACCTTCCAAAGAATTTAAAGGATAGCTCTTCAGTCAAGGTACAAAACAAGTCCTCAGAGAAAATAAAGCATAGCAAAAGAATCCCCCCACCCCCAAAAGAAAAAAAAAAACCTAAAATAATTTTTTTTATTAGTGCTTATAGTGAAGGAGCTTGGGGAAGTTTTATACCGGAATCCTCCTTTAATCTCAAATTGAAGTATGATTTAAGGAGGTTATAGAACAAACAGATAAAATGAGCAGAATCACAGAATCGCACAGAATCACAGAATGGTTGAGGTTGGAAGGGACCTCTGGAGATCATCTAGTCCAACCCCACTGCTCAAGCAGGGTCATCTAGAGCGCGTTGCACAGGATTGTGTCCAGACGGCTTTTGAATATCTCCAAGGATGGAGACTCCAGAACTTCTCTGGACAACCTGTTCCAGTGCTCAGTCACCCTCACAGTGAAGAAGTTTTTCCACATGTTCAGACGGAGCTTCTTGTGTTTCAGTTTGTGCCCGTTGCCTCTCGTCCTATTACTGGGCACCACGGAAAATAGTCTGGACCCATCCTCTTGACACCCTCCCTTTAGATGTTTGTATACATTAATGAGATCCCACATGAGCCATCTCTTCTCCAGGCTGAGCAGGCCCCAGAATTGGACACAGTACTCCAGATGTGGCCTCCCCAGGGAGCATCAGCTCCCTCGACCTGCTGGCAACACTCTTCCTAATGCAGCCCAAGATACCCTTGGCCTTCTTGGCCACAAGGGCACATTGCTGGCTCAATGTAGCATGCTCTGAGTATGTTAGCCAAGTATGCCCTATTGAGAGAGTGGGGAGGTGAAGTATTCAGCAAAGCTGAACTGTCTGAAATTAAAGTAACTTTAATTTCTACTTTAAAGTGATTAAATTGGAAGATGCTATGGTACACACAGATGAGCAATTATACACGCAAGTCACCAAAACAGGAGGATACTCACCCAGAAGTTCTAAAAAGGATGAAAGATCTGAATTACCAACAGTAGTTCAGACAGTGGTCTGTGACTTCTCACTGAAACCTTTCTTAACGCCTGAGTATTGGGCAGTGAGGAATGTGGCATAATTGTTAAGAAGGATCTGGGGGAGAGCTGGGAAACTTCAGTGTGATGTCTGTACAAGGCAAATTGGTAGACATGGTAATAAAAAAGAATTAATGGATACCTGAATAAAAAAATCTGTTTGGCTTCTCAAGTGTTCTGCCATACAGTTTTTCATGGGGTCAGCAAAAATGTAGAGTAGGATAGGTTAAGGGATTTTATCAGCCACCTCCTCCAGAACCTGGGGATTCGTCCTTCTTGGACGCTGGAGCCCACCCCAGAGTCCTGGAGCTCAGTCTCTCCATCGCAGGCTGACTGCATCTGCTGCTTTACTGTTTGCAGGTTCCACCAGTGATGAGGCTGAGCGTGTATCCCAGAAAGGCACACACATAGCCACACACAGAGGGCACTAACATGGCTGGATACACAGAAGGTGTGCTGCCTTCAACGACACCCACGTGTAGCACTACTAGAACTCAAATAAAACTTAAGTATGGGTAGCTCGGTTGTGTTCCTCCTCTCTGGCTGATCAGATAATATGTTCAGTAGTGAAAACACACACCCTCACACTCTAGATTCACAAGTTCACCCACAATCACAGGTCCCTCAAATATCAGCATGGGCCCTCAACCCATCTGATATCTGTGCCTGGGTCTTTGGGCCTCTTTCCATTATACAGGTCTCCTCCTACCTACTATCTAGTCCACCTTGATGTGTGCTAGCAAACAGAGACACGCACTCACCCACTTATCTCACAATCACCCCCACACCCATGGACCCCTTGAATATCAGCACAAGTTGTCAGCTTGCCTAATATCCATACCTAGGCTCCTTTAACTACCTCTGGCTCAGACTTTGAGTCTTTCCAGACTCATACTTGGCCAGCTAGTCCCACTTACTCACTCCAGTTGCTGGCATCCCAGATGCATGGGCCCCTACGACCTGTGGTTCCTCCAGTTGCTGATGCTAACACTCTCACTTGCTCCAGTTGCTTGCACCACAAACACCTGGGCCACTGTCACCTGCGATCTGACTCCCATTGCTGGCACTTGGTTCACTCACTTGTGTTGCTCCACTTGCTTGCACCTAGACCTTGCCTCAAACATGGAATAGAGTGAAATTACATGGAAAGATAATTAAGAAAGGATTTAATAAGATAGGACAGCCTGTGGTGTTCAGGTGCAGGGCTTGCAGACAAGTGTACTGACCAGTGACTGCTTACATGTGACTGGCCCCTTTTATCTTTTCTTCTATTTCCTCCCCTTGGTCCTCCTTGATCCCCACTTTTCCCAGCCTTTGACCCTTTCCCTAAACTTTGCTTAATAAGTTTTACAGACCCCCTCAAATATCTATAGTACTCAAGTTCTTTTGTTTCCCCCTGCTTATCAGTTACAACATGCAGGTTAACCCTCTTCAGAGCTATGCCTGTGGTTTCTCAATGGCCCATCAACTAGTGGCTGAAGAATTTTAGTCTTGTGTCCCTTACCAGGTTTGTGTCTCTGTGTTTTTGTTTATCACTCTCCCTGTTACTTATTATTTATTCCCTTTGAACTGAAAAGATCCTTGATCTAATAACTTTAATGAGGCAGATGCTCTCACATTCCTCATCCCCTTACATTCCCCCACTTACATACTACCACAAGGAGCTGCACCACACCCCCTCTCTCCTGCTCAGCCTGACTGGGCCTTCCATGGCACTCCTTGTGTGGGCTCTACATGCAGGGGCAGAAAAAAACATTCCTGGGCAGGGTGCAAGGAGCTGTCATGTAACCTCCCACGGTTGCCCAACAGCCATGACCCCTCTGAGGCAATACAATGTGTGAGGTACTTAAAATCAATAATGCCTCTGTAAGAGTAACAATCTTTGTATACAAGTCCAGTTGTTTGGCTTTAACAGCAGCCTCTCCACCATGCCCAAAGTCATGGGCCGTCAGGAGCCAGGTGCATTCTGTAGTTTTGGTCCCTTTCCTGCAGGTCTGAGTGAGCTGCATCAGTGATCTTACCTCATGGATGGTTCTATGTTGGTTGCTAAGTTACGTTGCAGCATTGAAGATCATAGTAAGTTTACTTCTTAGCTTCTTAGAATCAATCTTAGCTCAGTATCATTTGTAATGTTAGTCCATGTTACACATGCTTTCACAAATCTTAGGGCAAGGTATCTTCAGTACAAGGTCCTGTGGCTACTTGGAGAAGGTTAATGTGGACAGGTATATCTACTACTCTTTTTGCTCTACTCCCAAAGCCATATTGCCTGCAGCTTTGCAGGGATTTGAGTAAATCATTCCAGCCTGGTTCACTGCAGGGTACTATCTGTTTTCTGGGTATTTACAGTACAATTAATGTAGAGTGATCAAGTGAACTGTACCCTGACTACAGCTCTTACAGGTCTTACCACCTCTCCTTAACTTTCTTCTCATCAATATCTCATAGGGAGAAATCCCCTGATATGCAGCAAGGGCCTGATCACGCTCTCATGACGATGAGAGGGTATCTTAGCTTCAGCTGATTGACCTCAACATCTCCATTATTCAGTCCCCCACACCAGTATCTTATCTCAGTCTGTGGTGGTTCAGTAGTTAATTTAGAAAGGGTTCAGTAGGAATTAAAACACAATTTCCACTGCTATGGTGAATGAGTCTTGCATTTCTGGCTCTCCGTAACAGGGTGGTGGTGGTGGTGCTGCTGTCTGAAAGTTATTTCAACCTCCTTCCTCTGTGGTGACCCCCTTTCCAGCAAGCGTGTTGCTGCTGGTACCTTTAACACTTAAATTATTGTGGGGGAAGGGATCATGCTTTGTGATACTTAAACTGTAAACTGACCCATCCTAGTACCCATATGGCTGTCTCTCTTCAAGAGCAGAATCTTTAATGATCTCTAGGAGGGCCTCAGCTCTTTAGAAACTGCCTACGTTCCCTTGGGTCAGGGTCTTTGTCTGAGCATCCTCGGAAACATAGATCCTTTGTGAAGCTGAAAATAATACTAGCTGATCCTGGGTTGTCCTGTCTAGCCAGCTCTTGCTTACAAGCAAGATGGCACGTGTTTATCTAATGACAGGAGCCTTGAGGAACTTATATTTCCACTATACATACATTATTTACAGAGTTAAGTGTTGTTCAGGAAAAGGAATTAAAAGAGGTATAGCAAAGAATAGGTGTGGGAAGATTGAAAGGATCAAAGAAAGAAAAACAAGGTGAGTTTAAAATTTGTACCTTTTGTTCTTCCCCACAGTTTATCAATTTTTTCAACAGTACTTTGAGTTTTGCTACCTGGTGCCATAGGGTGTGAGTCTTTCTCTAAGCTGAGGCTACTCCTTTGCAATGGTGCATTTTCTTCTGTACCTGATTTTTTTCCACACGTTTGAAGGTTCAGTTTGTGGACTCCTTGGCCTTAGTCTGATTCTCTCAGATTTCCTGCTGCTCTCTAGCCGATACAGTTTGTTGATTTAATAATCTGAAGTGATCTGTTACTTACAGGAGGTCTGGTACATGTTCTCGTAAGTGTCTCTTTTCATTCCATACAGGTGGGGTACAAATCCCACCTGCTAGACCTTGCAGTAGATCTGCTTTATACCTCTTCTTGCTCTTATGTGTATTAATGTTTTCAATCCAATTGCTCCAGTTATACCAAGAATTTCCTGGGGCAATCCTGTTTGAGTGGTCTAGAAGTTAGGTTACAAATTTTAACACTGTGGGCACATTTGCAAGAAGATACCTCATCACATAGGGATTATATTGCCATCATCTCAAGAATACTCATAGTTTGACTGTATCCTGCCAAATACGTCAGATGCTGCAGCCTCTGGGACCCAGTATTCCTTCTTCCCAGCTGCTGGAGCCCAGCCTGGTGCACCCAGATGAGGGAAAGTCCTGACAGGGATAAATAATTCTGATAGGAATATACAGGCTGCTAGACCTATTTCTAGCATAGAATTGTCTCCCTCTGTCCATTTCTCTTGCCTGTGCCTATTCCTTGCAAACACTAGTTGTTTCCTCTTTCCTAGTTTTTCTTTCAGCGAGCCAGCAAAAGTAGACAGGGATACTTGCTTCCCTCCATCTGTATCTCATAGCCTGCCTGTCAAGTCTTACTGATACTGCTGGAGAAGCACCCAGCAAGCCTTCTTTTCTCAAAGGCTTGGTTCCTGTAATGACTTAATGTCCTCCCGTGATGTAGGTTTAACCAGGGAAGAAGTAAACCACTCCTGCCTGGAGCTAGATGTCCAGGTGTTTGCTTTCCCTTAGGCTTTCTTCTGACCACGTGCCTTGCCTCCACCAGACTTGCTTTTCCTTTTGAATTTCCTCCTCACTGCTTTCAGCCTAGCTCAGAAGGGATAACATCAGACAAGTTGAAACATCCTCTGCATTACAGAATAACAAGCACTCCTGCGCTCTCACAATGTCCCACAGGGAAGCTTCATCCAGTGCTCCATCAAAACGTACACAGAAGTGTAGTTTTGCCAGGATACTCAGTGAATATGAAGCAATATTCAGTTCATCCCAGTGCCACCTCTTCTGCCTCAGTCCTTGGTACAAGTTTGTGAAGTGTCCTAATGCTGGGCTAATGAGGTTAATGAGTTCTTTTCGGAAAGGATTTGCTTGTCTGTTTGTTTTTTCTGCTCTTTGGGATGCACTCACATTTCCTTCTGTATCATGACAGCTAAAACAACTTGTTTTTACGTGAGTGAGTCTCTTATCTAGATTATAGCGAGTCTCGCAGGTATTGCTCCTTGACACACCTTTATGCTGGAACGTGCTGGGCAAATACTCAACAGCCTGGATTTCTGTGAGAACACTACATTTATCCTCTGATCACTCTACTTGGTTTCCAAAATATATCACATTCGTGTTGAAGTTTCAGCCTTTCTCCTTAAGACAATTAGGTGAGCTGAATGAGGGACATAAAATAGTATTAGCTCACATTTGTAATTAAATCAGCAGCTTTGTTAAGTACAGTGGAAGGGTAGGGCTCAGATTTTGAGGGATAAATGGAGGACAAGACAGGTTACAGGTTGCAGGGGAGTCTCTTTGTTTCAGGATCTGACTCGTGGTTCCTAAGGGTGTTTGTTTCAATAAGACTTCACCTTCTGTTCTACCAACATGTGGGCTTTTTCAGTTTGCCTTCATATGATTTTTAAAAAAAAATGACTTTTAGATATGACCACCACCTGCCATATGGGGAATGAAATTAAACTTTCACTTACTGTACGTCTGCTATGACTTTGGGAGACAATAAGTGGTCATGGTATAGACAAGGAAGAGAAAAAAGAAGTTTTTGCCTCCAAATCTGTGATGCACGTGTAAGTAATTCAAATGATAGACCTGTATTTAAAGAGAGGATAAGAATATTCTTGCTGAATTTCTCATCTCACAGAACGCTATCTAGAACATTAATTCTAGCCCTCGCATTCTATGTGACGAGCAACAATACCCAGAAGAAACATAACTTGGATGATTTTCTTTCAGTTAAGTCTCAATTCCTAATAACCTCCAGAAAGCTTCCCAGTGTTTTGGGAGGAGGAACAGAAATCTGGGAATAGATCTTTAAACAGATCTTAATAAGAAAATATCATAAGTCAAAATGTTAATTCAGTAGGAAAAAAAATTACAATGAAATAAAAGCAGAAACTGTCCAGGCAGACTTGGCAATAAGAACTTAGAAGGGAAATGAGAAGAGATTTGTTATAAAAATCAGACTTGTGTTTCTTCTAAATATGTAATCCCTCTCCCGCAAAAGGGGGGAAAAAAAAAAGAGAGAGAAAACTTAAGTAAACTAATACTAAGTGCAGGTTGCTCTGCTTCTGTTAGTAACTAATTAATATTTTATAGACAGATCTATTTCAAAAAGTGTTTGGTATTGTCCAGCAGTCTTTGTCAGTATCCCAGCTCTTCAATGTCATCATAAGCTATATCTTCAAGAGGAGGGGATGAATTCTCTCTCTCAGCCTCAGAGGTCCTGTTTCCTGGTGCATTAGGATTCCATTCTGAAAACATGAAAGGAAGGACACTGAGATAAATGCACATTCTATATGTATCACCTTTACATGGTCATGCGGCTGACAACACAGGCTGTCAATTGTCTCCTCCAGATTTGAGAACCATAGATATGTATGGCTGTGAAGACCTGAAAATCCATTGTTTCATCCTGCCTCCCCCTACATACACACGTACCAAGATGACTCTCACTGTTCCTAGAAAACAGGTTACTGATCTAACTTTGAACATTTCTAATAAAGGCAATTTTTCAATCTCCATCAATAACCCATACCTTGTTTTACTGCCTTAAGTGTTAGAAAGCTTTTTGGTTTTCCCAACAACAGAAGTTGTCAATACAACCAAGCAGATTTCTATGAAGTCAACAGCAGAGGAGGTGCACAAAGACACTGATAATTCCTTTATGTGATGTAGAAATTTATATAAGAATGTGCATAAAGTGGAAAATAATATAATCATGGTCTGCTTTAAAAAGTTCTATAGTGTTTCTCTAATAATTTTGAATCCTAAAATATTTTGATTGGTTTTTCATGTCTTCAGTCTGTTAAATATACATATTACTACCCCAAAAGATGACGTTTAGCCACTGATGAAAGATTAGAAGTTGTTCCAAGGTTATACTAAGACTTTTCTTTCTCTGTGCACTTCCTTTTTTTTTTTTTTTTTTTTTTTTTTTTAAATGTTGACTGGGCCTGATGAAATTCAATGTTAGGATAAAAGCCTAGTTGAATCCCTCTTCCATGCACTATCTACTATCTTTAAGAATGCACAGAAAAAAAGGTGGAGCTCTGAAAGAGTGGGAAAGTGTGGACAATATATGCTTATTTTTAGGAAGGTAGGGAAGGGGAAGAAATGTGTTTAGAAATTACAGAACATTCAACTTCAGTGTCAGAAGAATATGAAAACAAATAAACTACATGTAAGGAGACAGAAGAAAAATAGAGATAGATAACAGCTATCATGGATTTATCAAAAATAAGTTATACAGGATAAATCTAGTTTACACTGTTGAGGTCTTAGTACTGTACCATACAGAAGTACTCAAAAATTTTTTACCACACTTTTTGAAAGATATGGGCCTTCTGAAAGAGTCCAGGTGGAGACATTCAGAACCATCAGAGTTCTAGCCAAGAAGACCTTTGTAGAAAATAGACTAGTTTAGATTGTTTTAGCCTAGGGAAACAAGATGTAAAGCAAAACTGAGGGAAGATATGTTAACAGTCTTCAAGGAATTAAAAGGCTGTTACAGGAACAGGGAAAAGACTTCCAAAAGACTGGAACAGGGTAGATAGGTAGTGTTCCACCTTACAGTGGTTAGATTAAGAACTAGGTGATCCCTTGAGGTACCCTTCAGCCTCATTTTTCCTGAGTTCATTACAATAGCTATAGCTTATGAAAACTAGCAGCACTTTCATCCTCACCTGGATGACATTCAGTCTCTGAATCCCGGCTTCCTTCACTTTCTTCAGGGACCACAATGATTTCCTGTTCATTCTGCTCGGAAAGAGGATCCTCTGTTGGTCCAGGAGCTTCTGTCACATCATCATAATTATCTTCCAGGGTATTTCCAGGCAGCGAAGGGCCCTCTGGAACAGTGCAGGCATTAATTTTAATGGGAAGAGATATCTTCCAGTAAAGAGAGCAGTAATTGATGATCCAGAGATAAATACTGATAATACTGACATGATCAGAATGATAAGAAACCAAGAATCCTCCTGCTGACTCTAAGGTATTCCAAACAACAATGATATATCCCCAATAATTGCTCTATGTTGCTATAGCAAGTAGAAAGCATAAACCAAGCTTGGAGGATGGACAGGAGGGGGAGGAGGAAGATATGGAAAGAGGCAGTTGATGATAGGGTTTTTTTTTCAGAGTAAGTTTCCCCATTGCGCTTCATTATTGCACAATGACACGTGACTCATTTATCTCTGTGCAGCACCTGCTTCCTAGTCTTTTCATTACTTTAACCATCTTCTGCTAAATAACACTGAAATAGTCTAAGTAGCTACCCTGGCCTGTTATCTATGGACATAAGGTCACAAGCTTTGGCTCAGCCTTTGAAGAAAAATATCTGCAGTTCTTTTTCCCTTCTCTTTCTTTTTCCACTGTGTCTAGAAGGGAGAATCCATGAAACCAACCACAAGTGTTAATGAAGGAACACTGCCACAAAGCAGTGATCATGGAGACAAAGACCAGGAAGTGCTGAATAGAGCCAGATACAAGTTTACCCTGAAGTCACCTGAGTGGCCAGGGCTGGAGGAAACTGGGAATGTTCCCAACAATAGAAAAGAAAACTGCTTTTGTTCAGATTTGGAAATCTGAGGGTAGCAGAGGAGAAAAAATTATGAAAAAAAATCAGAAGAGTTTGCTTGGCATAATTCAAAACACTTCATTCTTAAAAGTGTTCTGGGAGATAGATAAATTCTAGCTGCCAAGTTCTGTGAGTAGCCAGCTCCCTGACTCCTCAGAGGGTGCATGCTCTGTGGTCCATATTTACCTGGCAGTCATCTCTCAGAGAATCTTAGTTTTCACTCTTTTATGGTATATATACATAAGCACACACACATAAAATTAAAAGTTATTCAAAGAGCTCTTATTTCACTTGGTGCCCAGTACTCAATATTCAATATGAAAAATAAAATTATTTGGAATAAGCAAGTAAAAAAGTTCTAAGTTTAATTTTAAATATTAAAAAATAAAATAAAAAGAAATCTTAATAAAATAAAAATAGTGGAAAATAAAATTGAAGACAACACAGCAGAGTCAAGGATATGGGCAAAAACTGCTTGTGCCTTTGGCGATTGGGTTCATTGAGAGCAGGCAATAACTTAGTAAACTTTTTGTTCACCTCTAGGAAAACTTCAATTCTCCAAACTCTCACTTTCCCCCAGCTTTTTCAAATGAAAGTAAACCTCTGGCAAACTGCATTTTCCATCAGATCACTCAGGTGAAAATTCCCTAATCAACTCCAATGATATGCCAATATTCTTATTCTGAGCATGTTTTTCCTGACTTTTGATTTTCTCCATGTATCTCACAAAGGGAGCAACAGTTTACACCCTTCTGGGAGAAACAGTTGTCAAATTGTTGAGTTTTTGTGGCTGGATCCTGAGAAGAGCGCAATACTACCAGCAAACATTTATTTTCAACTTCTCCTTTAGGAAAGACTAGCACTTGTATGACACTGAACACAAGCCTTAAACAGAAGTTTTCAGCATCCCTCTACCTTACGTCACTAGTGGACATAAAATACAGTGGAAGAATTTTAATGACTAATAGTGCTTTGAAAATTAAAAGCCACCCTGATACTTGGATCTCTTTCTTTGTAGGACACGCCCCCATCTTCCATTACCTTGTGTTATTCCAGGACTGTTTTCTTCATCGCTGTCCTCAGTGTACAAATGTGCCTTTGTTGGCAAACCCTCTGGATAGGAATCTAGGCAGATGAAGAAGTGTGATATCAGAGTAAACCCTCCTGAGCTGATAAGACTGCATCGTGAGAGAAAGAGTAGGCAAAAGTAACACTATCCAAGGCAAAAAAATAGGAGGTTGAGTGTGACTGATTTAATGGATTGTATACATCTAGATTACTAGTCTATAATGTAGCTGCTTATCAAAGCACCTGTGGCAATGTGTGAGGGACACATAGGAGGTATCAAAATATTCAGGTTCTAGCTTGAAAGAGAAGTAGATGCTTGGGCAGTCAGTATTACTGCTACTAAGGCAGTAGTACTGGAATATCCAGGAATGCTTCGGAGGCTGCGTAACACAACTAATGGATCATGGGAGAGGCAAGCCTTGAAGGAGTTAACAGGCGTAGGCCTAAAGAGACTTGTGCCTGCTGGGAGAGGGATAGAGATTACTCCTTTATTTATTCCCATCTTAAATAACTGCTTAGCCTGAAACCCAGTAAAAGCAATTTGTCTAGACCCATACTGATCCACACTCTATGGCTGTACTGTGGGCAGCATAAAATGAATTGTCCCCAGGAGTGAAATTTGCAGAGTCCAGTGGGCAGGAAACTTCTCTCCTCAAATCTGGGAACTGTTCAGTTACGTTGTAGGCCTGGAATCTGCAAAGTTTCAGAGTGGGATCTGGGGCACCAGAAAGAAATAGCCTGAGTTATTTTCCCCTGACAAGAACAAGATGCACAGACCTGAGAGGCCAGTCACCTGCTGCTTCTCCCTCATCAGGCTGTAATCAATCTCTTCATAGACGGCCTCAGCGAAGGGGTCATAGGATTGTCTGGAGCCTAGAAGTAAAAGGCAGTTATCATTCTCACACAGTCTCTGCTCATACTCAGACTGAGATGACAAAAAGGAGTGACCCAAAGGTGTCTACATGGCCTGGTCACAACCTAGAAAGTCACAGAGAGGTACTGACTGAGAACAGACTTGGAGAAAAACACCCTGACAAGGAGACAGTAGGTATTGGGTGGGGGAACAGGTTGGTTTACAAATCACTTGAATATATTAAATCAATGCAGCAACTAGAAACTTAAAAATTGTGTTAGCTGTGCATATTCCAGTTGCTGCACTGATTTAATACCCTAAAATTAAAAGCCACCTGCTAGTCAGGTGGCTGCACTCCCTGGTGTTTCTGCTTCCCACTTTCTTACTCCAACACTGTTTCTCCACACTGATGTCCTTTTCCACTCTTATGCCAAACCTCCTGTCTCCTCCTTTCAGTTTCTCTCCTCACAGGTGCCAGTGCTGCAGGATGTGCACTGAGCAAGGCAGGGCTGAAGTCTCCCAGTGCTCCTTCTGGCTACTGCCTGCTCCCAATTGCACCATTGGGTTCTTCCCTTACTAGAAGGTGATGAAAGCCTCAGCATGACCACAGCTGTTACTCTCCTCAGTCCCCCTTCAGCTTCACCACCTGTTCAAACACCCACCTCAAATCCAGCCACTTCAAGGAGGAACGCACCTCTCTGCTGTGCTCTGGCACTTTGGAACTGTCCACCAAGAATGGCAAGGACCAGGCAGAGAAGGGCCCCCAGGATAATGCAGAGGATGATGGGTGTCGTGATTCTCCCACTCTCTGCTGCAGGGCGACGAGGAGGATCTGAATGGAAATAAACAAGCAAAATGTGGAGAATCAGGTGTCCCAAAGGGCTGCTCCTCTGTAGCCTCCTGCTGTGCCTCTTCTAGAAGGGTGATGAGGGTATCAGAGGCAGGTCACCTGCTGCCCATTATAACTTAAAGAAGCTAGAATCCAACAGCTGAGGGTAATGCCACTCAGCCCTCCTTTACAAATGCTGTGGGAGATACTTTCTTGTGAGTTGGAGTGTACTGCTGACTTGCTAGCTATGCACTATCAGGGATGTTAAAACCTCATTTGATAAGGGGAAAGAATAGAGGAAGAGGGAATTTTTCACCTGCTCTAGTAGGTGATGCTGTTGTTTCTGTCACACCTGCAAAAGAAAGGACAATCTAGATTAAGGAAGAGGTAACTGTGGGAAAAAGGGAGAACACCTTCATATCATCTGTGAGATACCTTCAGTTAGGATTGTGGTGGGATGTACAGCTGACAAAATGTTCCTCTGTCCACCTCCTCCCCAGATCTATGTAATGAACCAAAAGACCAGTCACTAACCCGAACAATCCACAGCAGCATCTTCTTTATGATTACAGTTCTTGTCAGATAAGAGCTGGGCAGGACAGTCCCAAAGAGACAGCTCTGTTCCTTTACAATGCACCTTTTCCAACCAGATTGGACCAGTGCCTTCCCCAAAAGTAGCTTCACTCAGAGCAGACACAGCAGATCCACAACCCAGCTGTCTGCATACAACATTAGCATCTGACATGTCCCAGGAATCATCACAGACTGTTCCCCAGGAACCCTGGTGCCAAATCTCCACTCTGCCTGAGCATCCATCCTCTCCTCCTGTGACACGTAACTTCTCCTTGTCTGCAAAACAAAAAAACCCAACTTTCTATATCACTTGAACAGCAGGAAGGTCCAGAGGGACCAAGGAGGAAAAATAAAAAAATAGTGGTACCTGTACAAGTTGTAGAGTTTGGACACTCAATAAATGCACCTGGAGTCACTGCCCTTTTTCTTCCTACAGAAATTAAATACTGAAGTAAATGGCTTGATTATTTTTTGGAAAGAATAACAGAGTAGAAATTGCCTAAATATTAATAACCAAGTTCATTTTTCTTGTAATATATATATACGGCCTATTTAGTACTTGGTGGATCAATGTTTGGCTGTTGCTGTGAATTAAATAATCTTCCTGAAGTTCCCTGATGGCTGTACTTGCTTTCTTCTTGAGTGAAGTAAATGCAGTCATTTTCAAGAGATTTGAATGTCATCTTAAACTCATTTCTATTACAGTGGGAACCCACAGATAAGAAATACTGTAATAAGAGCAGGCACCAAAAATGGACCTTTAGAGCTGAACTGATTCATACACTTGCATGTGGTTATGTGCTTGCACATGTGTGTACATATACATATGTACCCATTTGCCTACACAGATGTACACAAACATAAATGCACCTGAACTTCTTGAAGTTAGTCACAGACTAACTGCATATCAGATTTTTACTATAGAAATGGAATTTCCATGGGATAAATGCACTGGGCAACACTCATTTCATTTATAATTCACTCATTTACATCAAGGATATTGACAAAGAAAAATGGCTATGCCATTTCTGTGAAAATAAAAATAATCTATACTGGAAAACAAATAAACATGAGGTAAGTACTACAGGCATCTATATATACATGTACATGCTTATGTGTATGTTTTGGAGGAGGGAAGGTGCATTTGTAATTACCAGTGCAAGAAATATGGGTCTCTTCTGCTCGATTATCACATGACTGAGGATCCCAGGGGTCTGACTGACATTGCCAGAGAGAGCTATGTTGCTCAGTGCACTCAATGTGGTCCAGCCATGTGGGCCCAGAACCTCTGCCATATTTGAAGTCTCTTGCGATTTCTCCACCATCTCCACAGTTCAGGTGTCTGCATACTGTTACTGCAGTGAGTTGAGACATCCGATTGGAGCAAATGCTCCCCCATGTCCCATTGTAGAAAACTTCTAGCCGCCCAGCACAGTCATTGCCATTCACTAGCCTCAGAGCCAGGAATTCTAGAAGTGAAGACACAAAAATGGAATGTAAAGTGTCTGTTTCTGCTAGGAACTTGGTTGTGATGAGTGAAATCCAGAACCTGCTAACAGTCCTGTCCATCACTTTGAATGAGAAAGTGCCAGAGGAAATCACCCAAAAAATAACCAGCTCATAAAACCACAAATCATACAGTGATACCCTCTGGATAGCCAGCATTCACCAGCAGCAACATAGACTTACAACAGTGATGACCACCCCCACAGCTGTGAGCATATTCCTTAAATATGTTTGAGCAGAGGAGCCATCTGGTCCTCTGACTGGTTGAAGTTTTGGCACACAATGGGGTGTTTACCCCATTTCAGAACTGACTGGAATAGGCTGTGACCGGCATATGGCAGTTGATGACTTCCTCCCACACAGGTCATCCCTGCAGCCTACTGCTGCCAAAAGCCTGCCATTTATGCCTAATACATTCCACCCCTCGACCCTGTGAAACACATATTTAAGAACTGTTTGAACATACATCCAATATACATTCTTAACATCATCACAGTCCTAATATACATGCATTATAAGCTCTACCCTTAGTCCCAGGCAATAGGTATTGACATTTTAACAATGTGTACGTATACTCAGTAGAATTTCCCCTCTTGCTCCAGGAACCAGATTACAGGGGTTAACGTCAGGCCAATCTCAACAAAAGAGATTTTGTTGAATCTCAACAAAAATTCAGACCTTATGCCTGCAAACACATAACCAAGAACATAGTTTATGAAGTGAATTAAGGTTATTCTATTCTCTTTATCATATATAATGGTACACATTTCATTGTCCTGTTTCCAAAGGCCAACGAGTAAGTAAACTCCAGTCTTTGAACAATAAGGAGTCCTTCCTTAAGGATGTGGACTACTGCAGGCTTCCCATTCCAGGTGTCCCCAGGGCTGGCTGGTACTTTATCACACAGCTGAACTCAGGTTATAAGGTTTTCTTCAGAGTGACTATGACAGGTTCCCAGCTCTGTGCAAACTAGCAACACAGCTTCCTGGTGGTGGGGTTCCCACCTGAATCCTTAGGGTTGTCTAGGAGAATGAGAGATTCCCTTTCATAGAATGGTGGAGGTTGGAAGGGACCTCTGGAGATTGTCTAGTCCAATCCCCCTGCTCAAGCAGGGTCACCTAGAGCATGTCACCCAGGATTATGTCCAGATGGCTTTTGAATATCTCCAGAGAAGGAGACTCCACAACCTCTCTGGGCAACCTGTGCCAGTGCTCAGTCACCCTCACAGTCAAGAAGTTTTTCCACGTGTTCAGTTTGTGCCCGTTGCCTCTCGTTCTGCCACTGGGCACCACTGAGAAGAGTCTGGCCCCATCCTCTTTGATACCTTCCCTTCAGATACTTATTCACATTGATGAGATCCTCCCCGAGTCTTCTTTTCTCCATGCTAAACAGTCCCAGCTCTCTCAGCCTTTCTTCATATGGGAGATACTCCAGTCCCCCAATCACCTTAGTAGCCCTTCACCAGACGTGTTCCAGGAGCTCCATGTCTCTCTTGTACTGGGGAGCCTGGAACTGGACACAGTACTCCAGATGCAGCCTTCCCAGGGCTGAGTAGAGGAGGAGGATCACCTCCCTTGACTTGCTGGCAATGCTCTTTCATTAGAAAGAGCATTGGCAAACTCTTTCACCCCAGGATACCCTTGGCCTTCTTGACCACCAGGAAACATTGCTAGCTCATGGTCAACTTGTGCAATGGAACTCCCAGGTTCTTTTCTGCAGAGTGGCTTTCCAGGAGGTCAGCCCGTGCCCTGTACTGGTGCATAGGGTTATTCCTCCCTAGGTGTAGGACCTGCACTTCCCCTTTCTGAACTTCAGGAGGTTCCTCTCTGTCCATCTCTCCAGCCTGTTGATATCCCTCTGAATGGCAACACAGCCCTGTGGTGTATCAGCAACTCCTCCCAGTTTTATATCCTCAGCAAGTTTGCACTTGCTGCACTCTGTCCCTTCATCCAGGTCACTGATGAATAAATTGAACAGGATTGAACCCTGGGGTACTTGGCTAGTTACTGGCCTCCAGTTAGACCCTGTGCCGCTGATCACAACCCTTTGAGTTTGGCCATTCAGCCAGTTTTCAATCCACCTCCGTGTTTGCTCATCTAGCCCGTACTTCCTGAGTTTGCCTATGAGGATGTTCTGGGAGACAGTGTCTAAAGCCTTGCTGAAGTCAAGGTAGAGAACATACACTGTTTTCCTCTCATCTACCCATCCAGTCACTCCATCATAGAAGGCTATCAGGTTGTTAGTGTTGCTGGAGGGTAGTGGGCCTGAATAATCTATCTGCCGGGTTTCTCCAAATATCCGTTTCTGCCATTGTGCATACTGTTTCATCATTCATACTTTCTGAGCGTGTTGTCCTATTTCACAGATCTCACACTACCTAATTGCTTGCCTTAAGGCTTTCTGAGACAAGCCTAAGCAGCATTATCTGCCCCAGGAGTCAGTCCAGCCCTTACCAGTATGCCCAGCAGTTTCATGGGCCCACCTGGCTGAAGATAGTTCTCCTTTATGCTCCCATCCCAAACCTATGCTGGCAAGTCAGACCAGCTGGTCAACATCATCACTTTGTTTCTCTTCTTCAGTTGCCTTTGAATTTGGCATACGTGCATTAACATGAGGTATGAAAGTAGGGGTTTTTTTTGAGTAGCTGTTATAGTATTTTCCATTCTCCTGCTGCCCAAATTGGTTTTCCTCACTGCTGCCAGTTATCATGATTCCCTTCTTTGAGCCATTTCCATACCACATCAGCCAACATCCAGAATGCACATATTTAACTGAGCTCTCTCCTCTCCCCTGTGCTCTCAAATCCTTAGCTTGCAGTGCTAGATTTCTTTTTCTTTCATCTGTAAGTTTCAGTGTGTAGGAAGGGAGCGTGAAGAATTCCAGTTCTTTTGTCATATTTTTTCTGAGGTTAAGCGTACTACAGGATCCTTGGCCATGCTACTAAATGTTGTGCTGTTCTTCTGGCATGCTCCCTGTAGTATGGTAATATAGGTCACTCCCTGATCAACAGGATATCCCAGCAGATTAACAGGTAATACCAGAGGAGTGTTAATAATTGTGCCTTGCAGTCTGAGTTTTAGTCCTTGGCAGATGTGGTCACCCATCAGTGTGGCAGTGTTTACAAGTGGCCTAGGTCCCAAACTCCCCAGAGCTCTGCTCTCTTGAGCTATTAGCTTAGTGGTTTCCCAGCACTGCCATAGCCACTGCAAGGGCATCTCCCTGGAGTGCTGGCTGTCAATTGTCCTGTATTTCTTTAATTTTACTCAGAGTAAAGGACTGTCGCATGGTCACACTCATAGGAGCAGCACTCCCACTGCTGTAGGTCTGCTTAATCACTGTGACTGGGGCTGCCTGAAAAGGCTCCATTTTTAATTCATCACCAGAGTCCTCAGTTTCCCCACACAAGGTGCTGGGGTCCCCCTCTGGGTCACTCATTCTCCCTCGCTGTTCCTGCAGCAGCCTGCAGCTTGCAATTTGGCAATTTCAATGCTACTAGCTGGTAACTTCTGACCAGGACCCTCCCTTTTGCACTGAGTACTTGTTAATGCCATTTTTAACAGATCGTTACTCTGACAAGGACCACCCGCCCAACTCAGCTCTGCTAGGCAGTCAGGAACCCTCTGGAAGCCTGCTGGGAATACACAGTATGCCCTAGTAGCCCACATGGCAGAGCAACACATTGTTCTCCCCAGGTTTCACAGGCGCCTGGACTGATATTCTTGGCTCCTGCACGTGGAGATGGTCCAGGCTCCAGCCCACCGAAGCTTCAAGGAGGACATGTCCCAGTTCTTCCCAATGAGCTTCCCATCTGACAAGAGCTTTCTTGGGTCTCATTGGACTCTCCATTTCCCATCTGTTTACCTATTGTTCAAACCTACCCCTCCATATACAACTGCTGCACCGCTCTTACACACCACTGCACCACAACACACCAATACAAATTCTTAACACCAGAATCAAGGCTCCTTCCAGAGTTGCTACAGTCTCTACAATTATTCCAGTTCTAAGGCATGCCAGGTTTGGCTGTTGTCCACATTCTCCACCAGTTAGGCAAAACAGTCTCAGCTTGGGGAATTTTGCTTAATTTATTGCAAATTGATACAATGTTTTGATTACTGATGTGGGTACTGAGAAAATAACGGAAACATCTTTCATACCCCTTCCTAGTCTCAAACTCCTTTGCTTTGGTGTGGGTTCCACTCAGTCCATCCCAATTCCTTCAGTGAGGCAAAGGACAATGCAGGAAGTTAGGGTCAGACATGGAATGGTTTCTTTCTGCTGCTCCTTGCTTCTAACTCATTTTCCTCTGGTCCAGCATGGGTCCTCCACAGGCTGCAGTCTCTTCTGGGGTGTACCTGCTCCAGTGTGGGTCCTCCGTGAGCAACAGGTCTGCTCCAGCATGGTTCCTCCACAGGCTGAAGTCCTTTTGGGTGTGTTCCTGCTTTGGCATGGGTTGCCTGTGGGCTGCAGTCCCTTTGGGGGGTGTACCTACTCCAGCATGCGTCCTCTGCAGGCCACAGTCCCCTCTGAGGCCTGTCTCTTCTGATGGAGTGCCTCCTTCCAGGAATGCTCCTCCAGCCGGGTTGTGAACAATGTCCCCTTCCACACCTCCTCCGTTCCTCCTTCCCCTCACAGCTGCTGCTCTTTCTTAAATTTGTTTGAGCAGAGGCACCATGTGTTGAAGTTTTGACACAATGGGATGTTTATCCCATTTCAGAGCTGGCTGAATGGGCTGTGACTGGCACATGGCAGTTTTTGACCTCTTCCTACACAGGTCTCACCAGCAGCCCCTTGCTACAGAAACCCTGCAATTTATGTCCACTACACCCACAGATACTCTTTTCTTTCTTTCTTTTTTTTTTTTTGTTAATGCAAAAACAAGACTTCAGCATCCCTTTCATGTCTTCGTGGGAACCAAGGGGACAGGCTGACTCACCATGCTTGCAATCAAGAGAGAGTCAGAGGCTGTCAAAGCAAATCGCTACCATTCTCAGCTTCCCCTTCGTGTCTCTTCCCTTTAATCCCCCATGTTCACAAAGGCATTCCCTGAACACACCTGAGCAGAGGACTCCAGCGTCCTCTTTGTGTCGGCAGTTGTGCTGGCCCCATCCTCTGGAGGGACATGCCCAGAGATCAGATTCAGCCCCAGTGCAGTTCACGTCATCCAGCCAGATTTGTCCTGAGCCTTCCCCATAATGAGCAGAGGCAAAAGCGTTGATGGCATGTCCACATCCCAGCTGTTTGCAAACAACGTTGGCATCTGATAGATCCCAGTTATCATCACAGACGGTTCCCCAGATGCCATCATTATAAAGCTCCACTCTCCCAGCGCAGTGCTTTGTCCCATTCACCAGCCTGATCAGCCTGCTACCTGCAGATAGAAACCACATCCGTCAGCATGCGATATAATGATAATGCACAGGTCAGTGTAATGGCTATATACTTGAAGCGCTTTTAAGGCATCATGTTCTTGTTATATTCCAGTTCTTTTCTTATGATTTCCTGGGCAGAACTCCTGTGATGCTAAGACCACATAAAGGGAAAGGCCTGCTTCTGCATCTGGGAAATATTTGAACAATTCCTGTGAGATTTCGCAAACAGGTAGGAGTGTCCAGTCATGCCAAGCATACATAGACATCATCTTATCTTGGAAAGCCTGAGAAGCTGTTTTCTAACTAAACTCTTTTATTGCAGCAACAGCTTCTATTACAGATGAAGCTGCAAAATAAAAGTTTTAAATTTACAACAGTTTCAATTTACTTTATATATATGTTTAGAAAGACTGCATAAACTCTATAGATATAGAAATATCACATAACAAAATCTAGTTAATTTTTGAGTGACAGTAAGAATGTGTGGCAATCATAGCCAAATTACTGTTCTATAGACTTCAATATTCTATTATTTCTCTCTGATTTTATAAGCTAAATTCTTTAAGACATTCAGATGAAAAAAGCTCTATGCAAATTACAGTTCTTCCCTTAACTATCACTCATCCCTGAGAATATATAAGCAATTGAGGATCACAAGCTCAGACTCATGCTTGTCTAAGTTCTAGTGAGACCACAGCACAAGGTGGGCTAGAGGCAACCCCAGAGAGCATTCTATTCCTTTTGCATAGTAACTCACCTGAGCAAATCACACCAACATCCTCAGCAACTCCTACTGGCACTGTCTCAGAATGGGAGGTCTTGCAGAGCATCAGCTGAGTCTCATTTCCAGCACACTGGACACTTCTTAACCCAACCAGACCCATCCCTCGTTCAGACCTTGGAGGGTAATAGGCTTTTTTGGCAGTTCCACACTGGAGCTGTCTGCACACCACATGAGCATCCTTAATGTCCCAGTCATCATCCAGGACTCTGCCCCACATACCGTGGAGGGAGATCTCAACTCGTCCATCACAGCGGCTCTCTCCACCTGACAGTCGGAGTGATTCAGCAAGGCCTGGACTCAAGAGAATTGGAAAATGTATTGAATAACATCTACTGCTTTTACCTCAATAAAAATGTCATGTAGGCGAGGGATGGAAGTCAGATTTCTACGTCTGTGGACGTACAACCTCACCATTGGTGTAGAGTCCTCACCACTGGTCAAGCAGACAGTTTGTTAAGGCTTTGCTTGCCTCCATGCACACAAAGGTCTGTAATGGAAGTGAAAAAGGCCTCCCCAGCTCAAAGACTAGATCTGTGAGGAGTCAGGCAAAATGTAAATTCCTTCAGAGCAGAACCCTATTAAGCAAAGTGCTTATGTTGAAACCCTTAGAAGTGCATGCGGCACTGGCACTGACAGCACTGTAAGAGAACTGGGAGTGCTGAGAGTCTGCATATTGGCCTACGATGAGTGTGCCGTTGTCCTGCCAGAGTTCTCCATCCAATTTTGCTGGAAAATGTAGCTATGACAAAAAATACTGGCCCTATTCACTTCCATTCAGTGTTAGTATGTTGGTGATGTCCAAGCCATAAAGCAGCCAAGGAACTTCCAAAATAAAGTGACACATAAGCATGCTGAAGTGTTTACCATAAAGGTGAGGATTTTCTATAGTCTAAAAGAATTCTCTTGGTCAAAGAATGCTTTTAATATTTTCATATGACAAGTTATTAATTCTAGACACATTTCAGTTGTATTCATTTTTAAATGGACAAAGTAATAGTTTCACAGTTAAGTGGAGGATTTCTGTGACTCGGAGGAGAGAAACGGATGTAACTGTTTTCTGTGATCGCTCTAGGCCTGATTCCTGCATTCATACTTCATTTTACTCTATGGTCTTATACTGGTAAGTGGTATGGTGGTATTTGGAATCTGGTTCTTAATGCAGAATACAAACAACAGATGTTTAGCAAAACTTTTGGCTAAAATTTCTTCCCTCAGCTAGTTGTATTCATCTCTGTGGCAATAGGCCACTGTGGAATAGGCTGGAGGAAATGCTCTCGAGAAGCACTGGTTGACATAGGAGCAGAGTTAAAATCTAGATCTTTGGCAAAGAATCAGACATTTGTATGAATATTTTAGTTCACTAAACACACCCAAACATTTACTGTCTCTCACCCACACCCACATACTGGGTCATGCAGTGCAAAGCCTTTATCAGGATCACAAAGGACACACAGAGGGAGGTGAGGGCAGGATTTTGTCCATAAGCAAAAGTGATATAGGTGTATAATGACCACACAGCTTGAACATGACCTTAATACAGCCATATATGAAGCACCATCCCCAGGAGAGATGCAGGCCCTGGCAGAATGGAAGGGAATTGGAAATCACAGGGTTCAGCCTTACTATTCATTCTCCTCAGCATGCACCAGTGCAAGCTTAGCACCAGTCACAGCACATCTCTTACTGCATCCTCAGATCTGTCTGTCTGGGGAAGGGGAAGAGAGGAGAAAGAAGGGTAGGAGAGGGGAGGGAAGGGGCTCTAGATAAAGGCTCACGTACCTGACCTACTTGGCATACTGAGATCATCAAGACTGCTTTGTTCTGAAGCCACACTACACATAAAAGGCCATTCCTGACTTACCTGAGCAAACAACAGTGGCTGCTTCTCTGGCTGAACAGGAAGGATTGCCCAAAGTCACATGAGCACAATCCCACAGGCAGGACTCAGTCCCTTCACAGTGAAAAGCATCTCTCCATACATGTCCGTTCCCATCCACAAAAAGGTCTCCTGTTTGAATGGACTTTGCATAGCCACAGTTCAGCTGATTACAGAGGACACTGGCAGCTTGCAGATTCCAGTGGGAGCTGCAGAGTCTTCCCCATTTGTCTCCATGGCGGATCTCCACTGTGCCAGAGCACACAGTGCCATTCACCAACCTGGTCCCTGGGCACCCTGAGTATGAGAAAAACTGAGTACTAAGATGGCATATTGGTAACTGCTCATGAGCACAATCTAAAGGTGATTGGGAAGTGGGAGTGGTTTTTCCTTGGCATTCAGTGGTAAAAATTACTCCACAGGTCACAGGAACTTCCGTACTTCATCATACCTACATTTCAGTCCCCTCTATTTCACTGAGAAGAATGACTAGAAATCCAAATCTGGCCCCCTTTGCAATTTTTAAACTGAGGGCATTAGGTTTCAGGGCCCTGAGTGAATCAATAGGCCTTGGGCCCAGTCTCACCTGAGACCTTGACCTATGCACCCTCCAGCCATTGGTCCAGGGGATCACTTAAGCTTGGGACCAGGCCTTCAGTCCTTGCTTGAACTGTGTTGTTGGTGTACCTGCTTCCAGTCCTATCTCTGGCCCTATGTCCTGCTGCTCCTGACTGGTCTGCCCAGACAGACCTTGTACCTGATTGATTACTTTGACTTGTCTGAGACTGCTGATGGACTTTATTATCAGCACCTTCCTCTCTACTGTGTTTTCAGATGCTCTGGACTGTGCCCTTGTTGGCAAGGAAACTGCCTGTGCCGTGGCCACCCTCTATTCCCATCATCCTTCCTTGTGGAGCAGCCTTGCTCTTACTGTTCATTGGCACTAGGAACAGTAGCCCTGTGGTACAGGTGCTGTGCAGCCTCAGCTCCTGGAAATGTCTATAGCAGCAGGCAAAAGATGGAGCTCAGCTCCACAGATACCCTCTGAATTTTGGGTTCATATCTGTCTCAACAAAGGAATTCTTCAGTTTTCCTCCCTTCCTGCTGCTCACCTGAACATACCACATGAGCGTCCTTTCCAGCAGGGCAGTCAGTGTGACCCAGCACACTGACACGACAGTCTCTCAGGTGTGAGCCATTCTTTTCACAGCCGAATGTGCCATTCCAGAATGACCCATTTCCTTTTCCAAAGGCCTGTCCACTTGGGATCAATAGGGCAACTCCACAGTCCAGTTGCTGGCAGAGGGCATTGGCAGCTGCAAAATCCCACAGGTAGTCACAAAGGCTTCCCCACATGCCTCCATGAAGAAGCTCTACTCTCCCTGAACATGTGGTAGGGCCATGTGCCAGCCTGTACCCACCATAGCCTGCAGGAAGAATAAAGGAACTTAACAGCGATATTTTTCTTGTGCTATTGCACTGGAAATAGTAAGGGAGATCTAGCTGCATGGGACCTGCACTCACTCCATCCCAGGCTACTGGGGAGAATGTTTGTCCAGGATGCTCATAAACCACCTCTGAAACAACATGTCATTATTGTCTATGTCTGCACTACATGACTAAAAGCCTTGTGACTCTTTAAACCCAGTCTCTCCTCTCCTCTCTTCTCCTTTCCTTTCAGCACAATACTACTATCTGTTAACATCTTAGCTTGCAGAGATAGTCCCAGCATTTCATTGTATTTGAAACATGTGAGAAACTTAGAGCAGAGGCTACCAATATCACTCCCTCTCTCAGTAGCAGGTTATCTCACATTACTCTGTGCAGCAGCTGTGGTGTGCAGATCCTTAATTTTCATCTCTGCCACAGCATAAGGCTCTGAACATAGCAGACCATGCACATCAGCAGATGCACAGTAATGTAACTGTGGTACAGCTAGGACTGTGGGGCCTAAAATGCTAAGCACTCCTACAGACAGTGCCGACTGCCAGCCCCATGCAGTCTGCCTATCGTCTCATACTGTTTCTTTTTATTTTCCAAGCTCTTGCCTCATCCTTGCATTATACTTCCCCTAATGAGACTTTCCTAGTGCTGGATTTCTTCCCTGTACTGTGAATCATGGAGAAGGACAGAAGCAGCAGCCAAGACCTGTCAGTCATTGACATCTAAATTGGGGTGTTTGGCTGCCACAGCTACCCAGCCAGGGCTCCAGACCACCTCAGTCAGTGGAACTGTGTCCAAGGCAGGGCTGAAACAGACTGCAGCGCTCCACCTGCAAAATGCGCACGTTATATGAGAAGGAATTGTGAGCGGCTCTGCCCCCTGTTCAGTTCATCCATTTTGATTTGTGAAATAAGGAGAAAGTCTTAGCTGTTACAGCAATTCATCATTTTTGTAGTGGGTGGCACAAAGCTAACCATATTTAGAGTCTCCAGCACATAAAAGCAGACAAAGTTCTTAAATAATGACACCTAGTATTCATAACAGCAGTCATCCAGGCCTCCGACAGTTTTTCTATAAACATTTGTAACTTCTGCCTCCTATGACCTTTTGAAGGTACATAATTCAGCCTCTTCCTGTTTTATACTTGCATTAACTGAGGCACCAGGGATTAACACACACACTATCAAAGCAGAAAATAAACTAATTTCTCCATATTCCTGGCTGTCTGCTCTGGCCACCCCTCCTCTTATCCATGTAAGAAAGAGAAGGAAGGAGTTCTCAGCACTAGAGAGCCCATATCTCTGTTACCATGAGAGAAACGAAAGCCCTTTTCAGACCCTCATCCCTGGTGCAGAAGCAGACACTCTCTAGGGTGAATGAGAGATTGTTGGGCTGCTCTCCTTTACTTCTTTGCTTTCCCTGGATTCAGGTGTGATAGGGAAGCAGTCAGGAACCCTGAGGACCACACAAATATGCAGAGACTCTGGACAGTGGGTTGACAGGAAGAAGACGTGTAGGGCACATGTAAATTATGGCCATCATTCCAAAATCTCACCTGAACATACAACAGTGGCATCATGGGAGCATGTCTTACTATGGTGCAACATCCTGGGACAGTGTGCAAGGTGAGTCTCATTCCCAATACACTGGAACTCTTCCTGCCAGATCAGTTCATGTCCTTCTCTGAAGCGAGCTCCTCTCAAGATATCCACAGCCTGGCCACACTCTAACTCATTACATATAACAGAAGCAGCTTTGAAATCAATATGCAAATAACAGACTGTAGCCCAGCTTTCTTCTTGCCTTATTTCCAGATGTCCTGAGCAGGCACTGTCCCCTCCGGTCAGACGCAGCCCAGAGAAACCTAAAAACATTCAAGAAATTCAGCATTGAGTGTTGGTTGCACTGGCCTAACTTAATCACTCCCATACCTTCATGTTCAAGATACATGGTACTCACTTCTCCAAGGACCAGTGACCTTTTAAAATAGCCATTGTGGCAATTTCTGTATGCTGCTGATAAGAGAAAAAATAAAGTGTAGGAGCACTTCTTTTTTAGTATGTGAAAATACTGAATCTTGACCAAGTGTTTGGGAAGCTGAAGAGAAGATGTGAAGAGGAAGATTCAATCCCTAACAATAGAAGGAGGGAGATTTTGAACACTGAACTGTTGGTGAAGAACACCAAACAGAGACAATTCAAAAGGCATGGGGTCAGCTGGAAGCTGACAGGTTTATTAGTTCAGGTGCAGTGCCAGCCCTGCTGGATCCACACTGGCTCCCATAGACTTACTTGAAAGTCTCTGCACATCACTCCATGAGCTGCAGATTTCTGATGGGCTTTTTAACTCAGCTACACTACGACTTGCTAGCTTAGGCACAGCAGCTCATGAGAGTAACAAGACATTCTGAAAACAGCATAACTGTGCTTCTGTGGCGCTGCTCCTGAGCTAGCATGTCCTGTTGCACTCCAGCTGCTTCTGCATGTAGCCAGCTCAGCATCTGTACCTTACCTCTCTTTTTCTTTTTTTCTTTTTTTTTTTTTTTTGGTCTCTTTTTGTTACCTTCGCTTACTGCAAGAATATCCTGCAGATCAGCATAAAACATTTTATTTTTGTTTTCTCAGTTCACAGCTCTACTAGCAGTGAAATACTACATATTATATCAGCTTCATCACTGTTATCCCTTGGTGATATATTTATTTTACATCTATTTATTCTTAGCAGACTTAATACAAATATTGTGATGGATTTGCTTTTGTGCAGTACAGATAATTACCATAAAAATTTATAACTGTGCAGGGTCATGGAAACTAATGAAAAACTGTGCAGGGAGAAGTAGTAACAGATGGAAAAATGGGAAGCAGCTAAGCTGATTATTGATTACTAGTTTTGGAGGTGTCTTTCAGCATCAGTTCAGGGCTTCTCTGGAACAGAGAGAGTCATTCTATTGTAGGATTGTCACACGGCGAATTTCTAACTAATTTCTCTGTCTTTTGTCAAAGTACCCAGTGCTGGTTTTTCTGCTCCTTACTCTTTTCTTAAAGGAAAAGGAAAGGGACAAACAAAGCTCAGTGTGCATGTCATATCAACTTGTACATGTATATGAAGTTTGGATATAGGCAATATCCAAGCTATGTACATGTACCACTGTTGTAGACCTTCTTATGGACAAGAACTATTTTCTGAAGTAGCCAGTTGCTGCGGAGACCGCTTTGTGAACCTAGTGCGCTTAAACACATAGGCAACTTTACAGACTGCAGCCTGCAGAAGGAAATCTTATTCAGCAGAAAGATTACACAGAACATTACATGTGACAGAAATTCAAAATAAAAGACAGAGCAAAATCATTTGTGCAAGAAATTAGTCTTCCCTTTATCAGAAATAACCGTGTAAAACCACTGGACAGTGAGTCTTGATGTTTTGGGTAAACATTTTTCTTTAATAAATACAACAGGACTTTCAACCAATGTGGATTATCAGTTTCTTCAGGACCAAGTGCAACAGTTAATAGTAAGGGTTCAAAGACTGTTTATAGTATGAAAAAGATTGCAGACAGTGAAACTTAAAGCTGACTGTGAAGCGGTGAGATCCGCAGTAGGGACATGCTTTGTGCAGAACAGTGGACACCTGCGCCTAACTTCTATTTGCTATTTAACTGGCCCTCTCTTGAGTGCAGCAACCCAGAGAGCTGTGAACGGGGACCCCACAGTTTGTTCAGCAGGATGCGCACAGGGGGAACTAGGATGCTGCTTAGTTGCTTGTTGCTGCTGGTTCTTGCAATTTGTGCAGCAGTTTGTGTGGAAGGGTGTGTGGAAGGTGGCTGGAAACTTCACTGAAGACAGCATGGGACTGAGCAACAACAGTTGTGATGTGCCACGGGGCACAGTCCCCAACACTGACTGGAGCAACTATCCCTGGCATATCAGAGGCTTCTACCCAGACAGTGCTCCAGAGAGAGGAAGCAGCTCATCAGGTGCTGGGCTACAGGAAGTGTCTGATGCCTTTCCTTAAGGCTGTGGCAGGCAGAAGTAGAGTCCTTGCCTGCAAGAGATGTGCTCTGTTTGAGGAGCTGTGTTACCAAGTTGAGGAGCTGTGTTACCAAGTTGAGGAGCTGTGGGAGGAAGTGAGCAGGCCGCAGAGCACCAAGAAAGCTAAAAGAGATACTGACAGGGTCTTCACAGAGATTCTGCAGAGATGAGAGCCTGAACCCATGACTGTACAGAAGGAGGAGTAGCTGGAGATTATGGTTACGGTTGCTGGAGGTTCCAGCCTACCTCCCACGGTGAGGAAGGCTGGAAGCTAGTGACTCCTGGCAAAAGGAGGATGGCTTCTTCTCCATCTGTGGATCTGCAACTGCTAAATGGGTTCAGTGCCCTGGTAGGAGATGAGGGAGAGAAAGCCATGTCTGGGGGAGGCATCAGAGCTGGCCAGGCCTGAACCACCAAGAGGAAGCAGCGAGTAGTGGGAGAGTCCCTCCTGCAGGGATGGAAGCCCTTCTCTGCTGATCTGACTTGCTGTCTACAGAATTTTGTTGCTTGCCAGGGGCTCAGATCCAGTATTTTGTGGAGAGACTGCCAAGGCTTGTCTGGCTTTGCCAAGTCCCATGCAGTTTAATCATATGGGTACCAGTCATAACTGCCAAGGGAGCCCTTCAGCGTATCAACAGTGACTACATGGCTTGAGGGTGAGGGTCTAGGGCATTGGAGCCCAGGTGGTGTTCTCCTCAGTTCTGCTGGTGAAGGATGCTAGAAAGGATGACCCTGTGGTGGGAATTTGTTATAGACCACTGATGAAGGTGAGGAAGTGGATGAAGCCTCTTTAAACAACACAAGTCCCTACATCACAGATCCTCATTCTTACAGGGGCCTTTAGCCTCCCTGGCATCTAATGAAAGCAACATGGCAGGATGCAAGCAGTCCAAGAGATTTCTGGAGGGTGTCAGGGATAACTTCTTGATAAAGGCACTGAATGGGCCAACCAAGGGAGACATACAGCTGGATCTGCTATTTGCTAACAAGACAGAACTCGATGAGGATGTGGCAATCAATGGCAGCCTTGGCTGTAGGTGACCTGAAATAGTGGTCCAGATCCTGAGGGTAGTGAGGGGTGATGGCTAGTGGGCTGTACTCTACCTGGAAGCTGGCAACAAATGGAGTACCGCAGGGGTTTCTCCTGGGATTTGTTCCATTTACCGTCTTTATCAGTGACTGCAGAAGGTTATGGAGTGCACTCTTTTCAGGTTTGCAGATGACACCAAATTATGGGAACGTGCTCTGTGATGGTGTGCTGCACCTCCCTCTCCACCCACCCCCGGAGAGCAGGGGTATTGCACAAGATATTTAATCTGCCAGGCAACAGGTAACCGCCCGGCCACAAGGTGTGGTCACGTGGACTGCAACTTGACTCTGCATGACCCTATATGGAAATCAAGGGTACATCTCAGATTTGATTTGACTACAGATCAATCCTGCCAAAGCATAAACAGGAGCAGTCTGGTTGAGCCCTTTGAGCTCTCCTGCACAGCAGCTGGCTGCACGGAAGAATCGTCCCTTGAGTAAGGATGTCCCTTGAGGTTACTCCTGCAGATGGAGAGAGATTCCTTACCTAAAACATGCCGACTAGATATGAGATAAGGTCTAGACGTTTGTTTTAATAAATGCATTGTCCTGGCCTGATCAGCCACAGAGTGGGTAGCCTGAATTGTAATGCGCAACCCACTGTACCTGAATCCTCCATGTAGTAAATAGCCTAGCAACTGCACCATCATGTTATCTGTTATCCAGTTTCTTAAACACCACATTAGTTATTTAACTTCCCAAATAGACGTTATATTTTAGATCAAATCAGTGTGTGCTGACTTTTTCCGCCTGCAACAGTGCTCAAGGGCAGAGCTGTCATTCAGAGAGACCTAGACCGGGTGCAGGAATGGGGTGACAGGAACCTTAGGAAATTCAACAAGGACAAATATAAAGTTCTGCACCTGGGAAGGAAGAATGCCTTGCAATGGTACTTTATGCAAAGAGAGAAAACAAACACATCTTGCAGAGGAAGGCAGCCAAATATGCATTGGATTTCTTTGTCATCGGAGACTTTTCTTTCTGAGCCTACAGGAAGATCTGGAGGAGGGCAGCTGTATAGCCTAACAAAGTATTTTCTTGCTCCTCTATCTACACCTACTTTTTTTGGCCCCTTCCCTGGCCAAATTCAAGTTCAGCACTGCTCTCCTATTCCTTGGAAGAGTGGGGTAGAAACATGTAGCACCATACTTTTTCCCCTCCCTTTTGCTTGCTTTTCCCTTTCACAGCTGTGCCCTGTCCTGGTTCTAGACATTGTACACAAAGATCACCTTGCTGCTGCCACTTCTACTCCTGGTAAGAATGTCATTGCTGTGCCTAGGCAAAACAGACATCTACCTGCAGTCAGCAGAACTATTAGCACTGGTATGGTCTGCTTATGGAGAAGGTCATAGGGAAAGTGTTAACTCTGTGCTGACTACAATAATACAGCCCTATCAGTTTAGACAAAAGTTATCTCAGTTTCTTTCATTGGATTTTTCTATTACAAAAGGTTTGATGGCTTCTTACCTGAGCAGATCACTCCAGTATCAAAATAATGAGGGCAGGTAAATACACCCCATCCTGGATGTGAACAATTCCAGAGAGCAGATTCGTCACCACGACAATCAAGTCGATACAGCCATGTTGGTCCAGATCCTTCTCCAAAAGGAGCTCGATTAAGGGCCTGAACAGCAGATCCACATCCTAGTTGCTTACAAACAACCTCAGCATCTTCTATCTTCCAGTCACCATCACACACAGTCCCCCACTGCTCCTCGTGTTTTACTTCCACTCTCCCAGCACAGGGGCCAGGTCCATTTGCCAGTCTCAGTTCATCATCACCTTCATATACAGAGACAGAAGAAGGTTATGGAGAGGATAGGCTTCATCACCATTATCTATTGCAACTGCTTAATGGTTAATGAGTTTATTATTACTCTTAATTTATTATTAAGTCAGATTTTTTAGGTTCATCTTTCTAAGTAGTCGCACATGGCATTTGGAGTTTGGGAACTGTGTCATCATTAGGGTCATCACAGATCATATGAGGGCAGAGAGTCTGACAGAGGAGAGAAGATGCACATGAGGTTTCCTTGCTTGACAATGTTGAGCTGCTACTATAGATACTTTAAGTGATTATACAGTAGCCTAGCACAGGGACTTAAAGGCTAGAGAACACTGGTAGAATTTTGTTACATTCAAGTGCAGGAATAATGGATGGGACACAGAAGCAGTTCTTAGGAAGCAAAGCAACACAAAAGCCTTCTAGAAGAGCCCAAGGAACACAGGGGAACAGGTGTGAGTCCACACCTTACATGGACATAGAAAACATTGGGAAACCTGCACTGTATAAATTAAGAGATAATCATGCGTAAAGAAAAAAATGGACTTGTTCAGGAATTTTCAGTGTTTTTTTCTCAGTGAAGAATTTTAAGGCAACAATTTTTGAACATCTGCTCATAAAAAAGGATCTTTATTTGCAAAAAAGTTCATATTTGTTTGAAGAAAAAATACATAAGTTAATATTCTGAATCGTGGCAGACATCTGTAGATGTTAGTGAAAACAAATGATGAAACAAAAAATAATGAAAAGATACCTTCTGCCAAATTCAACTGAGAACAGTCACTGTTGTATTTAAGCAACAGTACAGATGACATTCATTATGTTAGCTTATACAATAGAAAGCTCATCTCCACACATGAAAAGGAGCACAGAGGAACAATGGCAGATGGGGGAACCCCATTAACCCAGTCAGAGAAATGGACACTCTGCCCCATCTCCTTCCAGAGCTGTCACAGGAGAGCCGACAGCACTTTCTGGTGGTGAAACCCACCAGAGACGTCAACAGGAGAGGCTCTCTGGGTCACCTTACAGTCTGAGGAGGGTTACTAGCTAAAGGGTATGGGACACATTATGGGATGCAGGGGAAGAGATCTTGAGATTGCCCAAGACTTATTACGGGATGTTTAAGGGAGGCACCAAAGAAGGGGAAAGCCAGTGATCAAGGTGGTTTGGGGAGGAACAGGTGTGGGAAAATAGAGGGATAAGGGGATAAAAGGGGTCGATTGCAAGTAAACAAGACATTGTGTGGTATGCTTGTCTGGCCATGCCCTGCACCGGATCAGTGTGTTCCATCCTGTCATTTTATTAAACTCCATTTGTGTTTTCCTGCATAAGGGGGCTCTCTAAGCTGTGTGCAGGTATGTGCATGGAGGTCTAAGTGCCAGCAGCTGGAGTCAGACCACAGGTCACAGGGGCATGTGTGCCACTAAGGTAGGTACCGTGGGTCATAGGGCCCATATGTCCACAGTGCCAGGAACTGGAGAGACTGATCTGAGTGCAAATCAAGTGCCAGCACCTGGATTTGGACTACAGTCATAGGAGCTGTGTGTCTGTGGTGCCAGCAACTGAAGTGAGTGACGGTACTGCTTGTCAGTATGCGACAGCTAGTGAATATCAAGCCAGACTAGCCAGTGAGTAAGTTAAGTGGCTTGGGAGCCAAATGTATGTGTGTTTCCTTGGGAGAAAGACAACTGGATGAGTTAGCTACTAGCAGACCAGGGGTTCCAGGCCAACTGCTGGAGTGGCCTTGGGTCCTGTGGGTCGACTGTGTGCGTGTGTGTGCATGTGTGCGTATGTGCGTGTGTGTGTGTGTGTGCGTGCGTGCATGTGGGAGGCACCTGGGGAGAGTGAGGATCCATGTTCAGCTACTGGATAGACTGAATGTCTAAGCCCTGTCCCCTGGAGGGACCCACAATGTATGTCTCTTGGTGCATGCAAAGACATCTGTACAAGCAGCTGGAGGGGTCTGCAGGCCTTGTGGGCTTGCATGCCCAGGTGCCAGGAACTGGGGAGAGGTGGGGATCCAGGGCCAGTGGCCAGTTACTAGATAGACTAAGTGTCTATGCCCAGCTACAGGGCATCCATAATGTTGTGGTGGGGATGAAGAGGAATGCATGTATTTATGTGTGTGTGTGTGCGCGTGTGTGTGTGCGTGTGTGTGTGTGTGCGTGTGTGTGTGTCTGCGAGAGGTGGCCTGTACCATCAACTGGGGTGGGGCTGTGGGCCTTGGGGAGGTTGCATGTCTGAGTGCCAGCAAACAGGGTAGACCAATGTATTCAGGGGCCAGCTACTGGATAGACTGAGTGTTTAAACCTGGAGGAGTCTATATTGTAGATATTTCCCACTAACAGACTTTCATCCTGATCAGCCACAAAGGGAAGCACAATGAGGCCATTGGTGCTGCTTGTGTTCATGTCAGTGTTGAATGTCTGTGTCTGTGCTGATCTGTGTGGCCAGTCATGTTTGTGGGCATATGTGTATTGTATATGTATTTTTGTGTGCGTCTACTGGGAATACATGTCCAGCCTTGCTACTTGTTGGACCTGGGCGAACGGTGCTGCAGCAGCCTCACCTCTATCATGCTACTGGAATCAGCAAGTGCTAACACACTTTAAATACATATACATTTTGGATGCCTACTTTTGGATGCAGGTGTAACAACGTTTTATATTTTTTTACTGTGAAGCTCAAAGAATGTATTGTACGTACCCTAAGAAAAGGCCACTATGCTTATGTCTCATTCTGCTACATGGAAGAAAATCTGCAGAACAATGAATGAAGTCTAGCAATATTCCACAACACTTTATGTCTTGTGTAAAAATTTCAGAGGTCTCTAACAATTCACTAAGCACGCTTACACATTATCCAGAACATTTATACTCCAGGAATAGCCAGTCTACAAGGAGCTAGGTCCATTGGTGTCCATTACATACTTCCAGATGAACATATGAACTGTGTCTGCACAAGAAAGGATTTTATGGTAGGGTTTATTATGAAAAAGATACAAGCCTTAAACCTTGAGATACAGGCCAATCTGAAATGAAGAAAGGTGTGTAATTATTTCCTGGATATAAATGCTCAGTTGAATTATACATACAATACTGTAGCATTTGAGAGGAATTTTGTCTCAGAGGGATGGAAGCTTTCCTGTATTTGTGATGGAACTAAGACGCCTGGGACACTATTTTTAAATATGTCTATCCTTTAAGAACTAAATTATTCTGTACCACACTGCTCATCATGTTTATCTGCAAAACATTACTGTCAGCTCATGCTGCCATTGGAATCAACTTGCTGGACATTAGGTTTGTGCTTCTCAAAAAGAAAACGTAAAAGGAGAAAATGGGAAAAAACATGCTATGTTAGCATTATCGAGCCATGTGAATGACAAGCCACTGAGGTTTAGAGAATGAAAGAGAGCAAGACAAAATGGTTGAAAATTCAAATGGTAAGAAACCACATGCAGGGCCTTGGTATTTCCAGGTTCAGGACAGATGGCAAGCTAAGTGCACACAAAAATCAGGGAGATCTTGGCCACTGCACCAGACACTCCTCCTAAATTTGATCAGATTTGAATTTTAGCGTGTTATGGAACAGAGAAATCACTGAACAGGGCTGGAAACTTCTTCTCCAGGGCCTGGAGATTGATTCAGGCTAATCAGATGCTCAGATAGCTATAGAAGGATGACAGGGCATCACTTAAGAAGCCTGGTAACTTTGGCCCCAAATTAGAACTGATTAAAAACCTAACACACAATGGAAAGTTAAAGCCAACATTTATAAGACACATTTGATCCAATTGCCAGGTGCCCCCAGGGTGCACTAATAGGCCTTAATGGCCTTCAGCTGCCTCACTTGGGGTCTCCACCCCCTCACTCTGCCCATTGGCACAGGGCTCCACTTAAGCTCAGGCCAGGTCCCTCTGTTCCTGCCTGAGCTGTGTTGCAGGTGTGCCTCTTTCCAGTTCTGCTGCAGCCATGCCCATGGTCACTGACTCTGTTGATCTGGACCCTGATCTGCAGACTGACTTCTCAGCTTGACCTCAGGTGTACCTCATAACCATGGACTTGCTTGATGACCTGGACTCTTGGTTGAACCTGGTTACTATCCCCAGGTCTGTCCTGCTTGCCTTACTTGCGTACTGTGGGGCTGGGCCATGGCTGGTGAGGGCCTTGACCTGCTGGCAAAGTTATTGCGCCAGGCTCCTGTCTCCCTGCCCCTTAGGAAGCAGCCAGCTCTTGCTGTACCCTGACACCACTATCCAGCTCACGATTCATAGGAGCTCTCCAGAGGTAATACGGTTACCCAAGATAGTCACAATTCTTAGAGAATAACAATGCAATGGAAAGAAGAAAGATGTTTGAACTTGACCACGTGACTGAGAGAAAAGCACTGGGCATTGTAAGTGAATAGAAAACAGTGCAGCCATGCAAGTCTTGCAAATAGTCCAGAAAGACACCTCTTGGAGATCCCCTCAAATCAATGGTAGTACTTAATATGGGACAAAAGATAACACAATTGCACTAAAAACTCATCAGAGAACTTTAAGTTTTCTATGAAAAAATTCATATCAATCTGTCTCATCCTCTCTCTCTTCTTTGAAAGAGAGAGGTGTTCCTACAGAGTCATCACACTGCTTGCTGAAACACATGTAAATCGTTTTGCTTTCCATTTTAAAGCAAATTAAATTATTCTCTCTATTCCTCATGAGTATGACAGCCTTACCCCACAAACCGATGCTGATGCAGCCACGCTCTTCATCAACCAACCATTGTCCCATTTCTCATTCCAGAGCAAACTGATAGCTGGTAGTTCACTAAGAGGGAATGTCAACAAGAAGGGCTTCTCCAAATACATCAGTAGCAAAAGGAAAATTAGGGAAAATGTGGGCCCGCTGCTGAATGGGGTGGGTGCCCTGGTGATGAAGGATAGAGAGAAGGCAGAGTTACTGAATGCCTTCTTTGCCTCAGCTTTTACTGCTAAGGCCAGCCCTCAGGAA